GCTACCGGCCTCTATCAAACGAGAATGCTTGCAAGCAGGACAAGCAAAAATGTACACTGTCATAGATACTTTTTTACACGAAACAGAATGCACCCTATACATCATTATAAGCCAATTTTATGGCATTAAATTTATTTAGTACAAATTTCGATGGAAAACGCTTATTAATATTAAAACTCTTGCTTGATAGTATTTGTCGAAACGTACGTTTAAAATATGTCAAAGCTCAAAAGACATTCAAGGTTATTATATGACCAGGGATCTACAAAAAAATTAGGATAACATACAATTTGTAAATTAGAATGTGATTTTTATTGAAAAAAGTCGTTATCTCTCTGATTTTCTCGAAGATATACTGCGAGCATTACTTTTCGTCAGCAAAATCGATACTCTTAGGATTCACCCTTCGAGAATCACTCTGTATATTTACTTCTTGCAATACATTGTTAAATATTTACATTTTCTCGTTATAGGATCTAATTATTTGTAAATATGATCAGTAATACATATCTTGAGTTTTCTCTCTGTTTTATTCAACTTCTTTTTATCCGACGCTGTCATGAATGGAAACTTGAATAAAAAGAAATTCCAGAAAAAATCGTTTAAGAAATAAAAATTTAAGTGATTTTCGTATAAAATTTTCTTTGACCTAAATATTAGGTTAGAAACAAGATATCGAGATGCAGTTTTAGCGAGCTTGTTTAGACATCATCTAGCTACGTTCTCGTAAAAAAACATACCAATGCATTTAATTTTTCGGAGAAAACTTTCTGTCGGAATGTCGAAGAAAGCCCTCTAGCGGCCACATGTGAGACTAACAAAACTTATAAATTATAACATTTGGAGCCTAAAAATAGCTCTTTTCGACTAGCCCAAGTTTGTTAAAATTGGTTCAGTCGTTTCAAGGATACAGGGTGTTTCTTATGGAAACCTTTAAATACCACCCACCTTATTTTTAGAGATGCAGCAAAAATTATGTAACAAAAAAGTTCAAATTATATTTGACTTTAAAGATCAGGTATTTTTTGTTAGGTTAATTGATCTGGCGGAATTCACTGAAACATCGCTTTCTTAATTTCAAGAATGCAGTTTTTCTGTTGGCCGTTTTAATAATACTTTTTTTGCCGCAAGTCTCTACGATGGATTGGCTACCAGATACAGTAGGTAGGTATCTCGCATTCTTACCCTGTATATACTGTATATACTGATATCGTTACCAGTAGATAAAAATAGATAAGTATATCTTCCCCGCACAGAAGTCACTAAACCGTCAAAAAACGCAGTTTGTGCGTCTTTTTATCCATAGCCACTGGACCTATTTCGAACTTTGCATAGTGGTAACCTTGTGCTGAAATTCCGTTGTAATCCGAGGGCTACTTTTAGGTATACAGGGTGTGAACGTTATGGTAGTCATTATTGATATGGGTAATAGGGAGTGTCAAAACAAGTCAAAAAGTTCATATGACCCATGTTCCAAAAGTCAATAGATTTTTGTGTAAATGGCTTTATAGTTTACAACTTTACGTGCTTTATATCGACCACAATCGCCACAATCCTACTAATTTTTATAATCTAATCTAAAACGTTTTTATATTGGGTAATTAACAAATAAATGGCATTAAGTTTTTTTAAGTCAAGCCAAAATTTGTAGTCAGTAACTAAGTAAGTTTCATTAAATTAAGTATTTAAAACACATGATAACAGCGCGTCGGTCATTCATCACTCTTATCGAACCGGCAATCGATTGCAAACGGTAATGGTGGTTAGTATGTTGTTTTGTTTTTGTTCGCTTACGTCGTCGTGTTTATTTACAATGTTCTCGAATCAAGAGTTCGCCGACATGTTGTTAGTTTACGGTGAAGCTCGTCATTTGTGCAAGTGTACCAAAGACTTTAATTTTTTCGATACTTTTTCAACAGGAAGTGTTCAACCCACTAATATTCGCAATCGTGAAAGACAGGTTACCGTAGAGCAGGAGGAACAAATTTTAAATAGACCCGTTAACATCGATCAAGGATTAATGATAATTAATGGACGTGATCTTACCTCCTCTTATCTTTCTCTTTTTGCATCAGTAAATATTCAAGCCAAGAGCTCGGTTCATCACTACGAAAAATAAGATTTGCTTGTGGACCTCTCTTCATCATGATCCGATAAGGATATTAGCAGCATTTTTATCTTTTGACAGTTAATACTTCAAGTAAAAATATAGAGGAGTTTAGTATTTTGTTTCCAGTATTGTCATCGGTGAGATAATGAAAGAGACAACTGTAGTGGAGGTTTCAGAAGTAACATAGAACTGAGTTTGATTCATAAAACAATTCGTTGTTAATGGCTTTTCGCGAAGAAGGTATCAGATTCGCTGTTTAGGCTAAACATACAAACATTAAAGGTTGTAGGCCATGTCACCAGAAGACTATCCTCGCAGACTAAAATTCTGTCAGTGGTTTCTGCACAACAACATTGAAAATCCAAATTTTTTTAAAAACATTCTAGCGACGGACGAATGTACTTTAACGCGTGACGGGATATCAAATTTCCATAATACTCACAAGTGGGTTCAAGAAAATCCTCATACCAATCGTGAAGGTCATTTCCAACAACGTTTTAAAATAAATATTTGGGCGGGTATTCTTGACGATCAGTTGTTAGGTGAAGCATACCTTAGCTTTCTAGCCAATAACCTACCAGAACTTTTGGAACAGACCTTAGACAATATGCCATTACAACGGAGACAGAATTTGTGGTTTCTTCATGACGGGGAACCACGTCGTTCAGTATTTGAATGAACATTATCCAAATCGCTGGATCGGTCGAAATGTTCTTGAACCTCGAAAATAGCCAGCAAGATCTCCTGAACTTAAAGGGATGGTTTATGGGGCTGGCCCAATAACAACTGACGCACAACTTCGGGAAAAAAATGCTAATGCAGCTGAAATAATAAATGGAGAACTTCGAGGACCTAGAGTAAGAAGAAACTGGGTTCGTCGTAATGAAGCTTGTGTGGAAAGTGGAGGGCGACATTCTGAACACCTTCTTTAATTACAAAAAAAAGTGCAGTGAGCGTTTTAAAAAGAAAAACAATGTATGTATCAAAATTGTGTTCCCTATTTAGAAGTGTTTTTTTTTTAATACGTGTTCAATAAACTTTCACACACCAGGTAAAGCGCTGAGACAGTTAGTGGTAAGTCCGTTTTCTTTAATTGTTTGCATTTTACGAGTACATTATCACATAATGAAATAATATCTAAGAGCAAAAATAACAAACTCCACCTTTATTTACACTGCGTTCCGTCGTAATTTGCGTCTGGCATTGCGGCGTTGTCAGATTTTATTTTACTTTAAAGTCGCGTTTCTCTAAAAAAATGCGGTTTTGACCCCCATGTTACTTCTACTTCTTGCAAAGTTACGATATTATGGTATAAATCAATTGGGCTGCCGACTTTTCAAATCTTACCTTCAGGGCCGTTACCAATGTGTTGTGGTTGATAATAGCTCGTATTCTGACTTCCAGCCTGTGACTTCTGGAGTCCCTCAAGGCTCCATATTAGGACCTTTGCTATTTATTATATATACGTCTGATATTTTTAAAACTATCACTTATTGCAAGATACAAGGTTATGCTGATGACACACAATTATACCTGTCGTTCGATCCTAGATTTATAAATACCGCATCTGGTTATATTAATCAAGATTTAGAAAATATTCAAAAATATTCATTTAATCACAACTTAAACCTCAATCCAGATAAATGTCAAGTTGTTATCTTCTCTCCGCCATGTTATGAAATTTTTATGCAGCATATCGACTTAACATTAAATGGAAAATCAGTCTCAGTAGTTAATAGTGCAAAGAATCTTGGTGTTATTTTCGACTGTAAGCTCAGATTTGAAGAGTACGTCTCACTATTAGTGAAAAAGACTTACCTAGTTTTAAGGCTACTGTATCGAAATGGTGGTATTTTAAATTTTAAATTACGTAAAAAGCTCTCAGAGAGCCTAGTATTACCTATTTTAAATCATGCAATCACGCTTTATTATCCCTTCTATTTTGAAATACAGACTTCAAAAGGTACAAAATTGCTGTTGTAGATTTGTTTTTAGGCTCAAAAAGTTTGATCGAATCTCAGCTAAAATAAATGAGTTAAAATGGTTAAAACTGGAATATACTCATAAATATTGTACTTCTATTTTAGTTCACCGTATTTTATCATCACAGAGCCCTGCTTACCTGAAAAGAAAATTAGTCTTTAGGCGTGATTTGCATGATTTAAATACGAGGTTCACTAATAAACTTTCTCTTCCTAAGTTTCGTTTATCTTTATTTAGAAAATCTTTTTCATATAATGCTGTTACTATATACAATAGTATCGATGACGCGCTTAAGTTTAGTTCTGTACCGATGTTTAAAGTCCTGGTTAGGCAATTTTATTACAATAGTCAATGTAATGGATAGTTCAATAGTTTTTGATTATATACTCTTCGCTTTGCGGTTTTGTGTCTTAGGCTTTTGTTTATTTTCATTCAAATTATCTCATATTTTCTATGCTATTTTGTATTTTATCACTTCTGATGATTGCATTTTATGTATTATCTGTGGCTTTCTTCATTGTTAGCTTTTATTTAGGGTTAAGTAGAGTAGCTTAGGCTAGACTTCGCCCTGTTGCAGATTTCTGCATTGTATATAACAATGCTCAATAAAGACATAATAATAATAATAATAATAATATGAAACTTTTAGCTTCTTTTAACCCCCTTTATTACCCATTTAAATAATGACTATCATAACGTTTACACCCTGTATAGAAGTGCTGTTTCTCGTGATTTACATGTCATATAGCATTAGCACGTATATCTCATTTCCGCGATCATAATACTTCCGTGCCAGAGGCGTGGTAAGTAAAATGGATCGTAACAACGGTTTGTGGGCAATATAACGCTTTCTCGTACACTGAGTCGGCTCTGTACACACAAACAATTTCCGTACATCCGCCAGTATGTTCGACGACGCTCTCACGGAAGCTGGAGTTATTAATAAAAAAGCTGCATTGATTAACGCTGAGAAACCCCGGCACGATCTTAAATCAACAACGCTGCGAAAAAGAATTGGCACCCCTAGCATATATTTCGCTTTGGCAGTATACCAACAGTATGATATTTAGTTGGATTGACTGACCCAGTCTGTATATAGACCAATTCAATTGAACATCATGCTCCTAGTAGTTCCTATGGCTCGCTGACTGCTAGCGTTAAATTTACACTCGCGCTAGAAATATGGTATGTATTCTGTAATTTTGAGCGATGAGATTGTTTATAAATAGATTGGATGTTTTGTGTTTTACTCTGCATGAATTGTGGTGCTTTTCCGAAAAACTAACGCATAAATTACTTATGACATTACAAATTGCATTTGGACGGAAAACGGATTACTCATAAATTGAAAACTACGTGAATGAATCACTTTCGCGGTAATTGTTTATGTTTGTATTTTTGTGACATTCTCTCGGGTTTGAATTCCTGATAAATAGAGATTCCGCAACACAGAGGGCGCTTTGTTATTATTCAAAAATTAATATAAAACTTGCATATGATAGTAAACAAGACGTGACTAACAAAATGCTTATTCAAAATAAAATTGCTCTTCAAATGCTGAATGCGCAAAACGTTCAAAGTATGCAGTTTAATAATATCCTATCTATAATTAAATTTGATCAAATGCGGCGACTTATTAATATTATCGATAGGATCTTGTCAAGCGGATATTGATCCAGATTTTGCGGATAGCCAATATAGTGTGCTCATTAAACTCATATAGATACTTCATCAAGTTACTGTTGCGTAAATTTTATTTAAAGATGCTTCATGCTGTAAGTAGAATTGTAATTGACTTAAGATCCGTAACACCGTTGTCATTTGAATAACCAAACTGTTCCTATGCTATAGATAACTGTGTATTGCTAATGAGCTTGAATAAAAGCATGTAACGATAATTTTTCAGGTGACCTATCCAATGAATTGCTTATTATGAATTGACGTTTGGTTCAACTATAGCAGCGTAGTTTTAAGCTTATTTAACCAAAACTGAGTAAAAACCATGTCTTAATAGTTGTTTACCTAAGCAATCTATTTTTCTACGAGATTTTAACATCAATAATATTGGAACATGTATCCAGTAGCACTAATAGTTTCATATCACACCGTCAAAAAATCTCTAAATTATTTCTATGCTATAGGCGTTATTACAGGGTTACGTGAAAACATGTCGTTCGGAAGGTTCAGTTCAGAGTTTTCCGTTTATTATTTTTAGAGACTGGTGACAGTAATTTCCGTTAATACCTAATTAAAGAATTTTTGGCCCTGTGAACTTCATCGCAATAAAAATTTCACCGTCATATATTCTCAAATTACGCACATACAAGTAGCTAATTCTACGAGCGATGAATAGAGAGCTTATGTTTTGGACGAAAAGCAAGTGCAAAACTTACAGGTACTTACTCCTTGTTCTTGTCTTGCTTGTATACAATACTCAATTTAAGATTTCCAAACATATTTGTACAAATAACAAATTTCAGATGTTCAGCTTCACCAAAATAAATGACGGATTAGATTGTTAATTTTTTTTTTCTCAATAATGACCCCTCCGAACGATTTTTTTGCCACGTTCAAAATTCATTCAAAACTCGTAAAACGTAGAGAAACAAAAATTGGGAACATTATGCGATTTTATTTTTTCGTTAATAAATTTCCTTCGCATAATATAAAACAATATCAAAAGAAACGGTTGACAGATCGACCACCAGTCAACAGAAATGTCATATAACGTTAAAAGATAATAATAATAATAGACGTCTTTATTTATCCACAATTACATTGTAGTATAGCCAAATGTCAGACTTACATGGCGTAGTTTAGCATGCTGCTACTCTTACACTTAACCATATAGTCGCTAGCAGATGTTCAAAAGTATACACTATTATCCACAAACAGATTTGGTTCATTACGTCGAAAGTAAAAATTAAAACAAGAAAAAGGCATACTTTCCAAAACCAAGTAAAAGTAAAAATTATTAACCTGAATCAAAGACGGAAAAAAAAGAAATGAATGATTAAGTAAATTATATGTTTGGAGGTTTGAGTAATAATGTTTTATTTTTTTGCCTTAGCAAATAAAATATGTTGGTGCAAAAACTGTGTCAAAAACCAAAAACCTATAATCGAATAATGGACGCAGTAATTTTAAAGTAAGACTTTTCAGAATAAGTGACTCTTCCTCGAAATCACCTTTTCAAATATTTTCATTTACGTAGCTTGCAAATCCAAAGAAAAAACGTTTTTCTGCATTTATCTACGGAGAAGTTACACTTCTCCCTTCTAGGGATGATAGTGAAATGAAAAAATCCCTAGGTAAATAATGAACTCTATTGAATACTTTAACCATTTCTGAAATTTTTTAATAACTATTGTTTTCTACAAATCAATACAGGGTCTATTTTATAAATGAAGCTATTCAACAAATTGGAGTATTTGAAAATCAGTGGGAAAGGAATGATGTGTCGTTCTATCTTTGTCGGACTCAAATCAATTAGAAGGAGCATCCCTCTTCTACAAACCGTTCTAAGATACAAACATTTTGTGTGCTTTAATCGGACAGTGTTGCCGGATGTTCATACATTTCTCAGATCTGATATATTTCAAAGTCTAATTAAATTAAATGAGGTAATACGAGTATATCATCATTAGTAGTGCCAGAAATTCTATACATACCTGGGTGAAGAAGTGTTCCAATATTATCATATATATACATACAATGAGCGAGGATAATAAAAGCCTTCTCAACCGTATGTAATAAACTATTAAATTTATCGCAAGTCGTAAGTGTTTTTCCACTTTATTTATGATTGAGTTGATACTTCAAGTTTCAGAATAATGTCTCAATAATGAGTTACGCTATTATTTAACTTATCTCTCTATAGAAATTTGACAGCACTGCAACTACATATATTCAAACTTTTTTCCGACAACCAACCGTATAAATAAAAAAATGGTGTAATTCTCAAAGCGATCGGCGTATATAATCTACTTATTTTATATTACCATGTATAATATTAGAAATAAATTAAATGCTTTTGGAAGTATCATCTGGTATTATTTTGGTGCATCCCACGTGAGCATTAATTGATAATACACATAAATCAGTTCTCCAACTATGTGTATCAAACATATGTATTAATTAACCTCTAATAAATGGATACCAGTGCTTAAGCCCTATTTTTAAAACACGCTACCGGGAATCATTTTGGCACTTCTGTCAGAACGACACTAAACTGCGATGGTGTTATTTTTTCTTCTTGGAAGTTATATTATGTATCTCATTGATAAGCGTGGAAAATGCCGTGATCGCTTAAATTTTTCTTTTAGTTTATGACATTTATCAAACAAAAGCTTTTTCGAAAACTTTAATCTTCGTGAATCTTGTTTTAAGTAATAGAAACGTAACAAAAAGATCTGAAATAAGATGGGTATTGTTACAAATTTAGTCCGTCGTGTATTAACAACGTTTGCATGGCTGCCATTTCTAATTTTTTACATTTTATTATGGTATTGGAGCGCAAAATAAATTCACTTTTCCTCATGGTGGTTACTCGAATAAGGCTTTGATGGCATCTTGTTCTCATTACACGCATTAATCAAACGAAAGGAGATGATTGGGAAGGGATCATTTGCAATTAGAAAAACCGTATGTCTTTCGATTATGCAAGATTTTTGACTGGGCATTTTGAGGAGTTTGTGGAGAATCGCTACTTTTGAGGCTACTCTTTTTTTTCGAAATTATGTTTTGTTATTCTTCAATCAGCTTCACAGGATATGTCCCCAAATAATGTACCATTGCAATATGTCATAAATGAAGAATTAGTCCAGTTAATGTAGGCATAACAATCGGCTAAACCGTAAAATTGTCTGTTTCAAAAATATCAGAGCATATTCAGGTAAGACTGTAGAAAAAATAGTAGGCGGATAAAGTGTCCATAATTGGGAAAACTTCCAAATATTATCACCTTAGAAAAATATCTTTTAGCTCATGAAGTACCCTAAATGGTTTTTGCGCAAGCGAGACAAAATGGTGCAAAATTCATCAATCTCAAAAATTCCGCTTTTACTAAAACTGCGATTTTCAACCTTCTTCATTCCGAATAGAATGAAGTAACAGTGAACAGACGGACAGTCAATTTTAGGATGTAAATCGATCCTAGGTACCCATCGTCCAGAATGGGTGCATTTCAAAAACCTTAAACTGGCCTGAATTGAGGGAGGAGCCCGATCATGATGCAACCCCATTGTTGTTCTAAGCGCATGTCGTCTAATATGGTAGAATGTTTCGAGGAAAATTTAAATAAGTTTCTGACACATTCTTTCTCATTATTCAAATCGGCCAATGAATTTACTATTCGCTAGTCTATCCCATAAGCTGACTCCAAATCGGTGTTGATTTTATAGAGCCCATGCTGTATATTATGATTGTTCTAAATGCGTACTTTTCGAAAACTATCTTCATCCATCCATAATATTATTTTAAAAAACTGCGGGTCAGGACCGAATTGTTGGAGTATCCTTCTGCAAAATTCGACTCTTTGGGTAGTCTTCTGAAAAAAGTAGCTGCATACATTGAATGTGGAATAGGTGCATTAGCTCTCTACGTATAATTCGATGTACTGTCGACCTTGCTTCACCAAGATTCGATCAAATATAGCGTACACTACCAAAAAATGTTTCTTGGAAATACGGGTTTGAATCGTGGAGAGCCGCGGGATTGTAAGCGCGCTCTGGTTCAGAGATAACTAAAAATGATAAGTAATCGACATCCAAGCCACACAAAAGCAAAGAAGGATTGGCAGGTACTTGCATGTTCCTGTCGCCTGGCTCTTTTCTTTTCACAGCTTTTTGTTATGTCACCATGCTTGTCTTAGGCCTGTATCGTCAGTCGTCCCTACAATTGTAGGGCGCTTTTATGGCCTCCTTGATTGTCATAGTTTTCTACTTCTCCGTGTCAGCGCTCTATTTTGAGGTTATGTCGCAAACATCTATTTGCATCAAATTGTGCTTGCTTTTGAGTTATATCATGTTTTATCAGCCTGAAATTTCCTAAAATTTAAAAAGAAAACATATCTTCACAATAGGAGAGCGCTGACGCTGACACGGGACAAGTGTAATCTAGAAATTTTTGAAGGACAGAAAGGAGTATGACAATCAAGGAGGCCATAAACGCGCCCTACAATTGTAGGGACGACTGACGATACGGGCCTTAGAGCAGTATCGTCAGTCGTTCCTACAATTTATTGTAGGACGCCTTTATGGCCTCCATAGTTTTCTACTTTTCCGTGTCTAGGTTATGTCACAAATAGCTGTTTGCATCAAATTGTCCACGCTTTTGATCTCTGTGACCTTTTTTTCTGAAATTTCCTACAATTTGGAAAGAACACATAACTTAACATTAGGAGAGCGTTGACGCTGACACGGAACAGGTGAAATCTAGAAATACTCCAGCCTTTCTGAAGGAGAGAAACTGCTATGGCAATCAAGTAGGTCATAAAGGCGTCCTACAATTGTAGCAATGACAATACGGCTCTTAGTTGTGGATCGGAAAACGAACGTTATTTTGTGAATGTTATATCGAGGATGAAAACGGATGCTTCGTCTTTCTGTGCGTATGTTTAACATAGCATGTATGCCCAAGTTCCGTAAGGTAAGAATTTGCATGGCTTTTGAATTCAACGAGATATATACTAAGTGACATATAAATCCGAACACCCAGTTTAAATGGTTTTATTTTAATAGAAGTTGGTGAATGTATTTATCTTACTGTAATAACAAGTAAAAAAAATTTCAGCCTTATCAGTTGGAAATTCCGGTTTTTATACTGCTTTTTTTAATTCACTAACGCTCTAAAAATGAATATTTCAGCCGCAGTAAAGAATCGACGTTGCCGGATTTTGGTTCCTGACATCCTTACGATCCGTTACGATGCCTATAGTACGGAGACCTGTACGATTTCGTCAACTTAGTGAGTTTGATAGGGGCCGCATAGTGGCACTTCGGGAAGCTGGACCTTCTTTTCGGGCAAATGCAGTTAGAGTGCAAAGAAGTGTAGACACTGTGGTTAGGTGTTGTCAGGCATGGCTTCGAGAAAGCCGTACGCAAAGAGCAAGGGGCACTGGACGCCGCCGTAGAACAACAGACCGTGAAGATCGCCGCCTAAGATTATTGGCCTTAAGGGACCGTTTCTCCACTACCAGGTCCATTGCAAATGAATGGTTTGCAGAACACGGAAGACCTATTGGCATGCGAAGTGTTTACCGACGAATGAGAAGTTTTGGCTTGTTTTCATACGGCCCTTTAACTCGAGAACGCCGACGTAATCGCCTTGAGAGTGGTGCAGACAACGGTCACTCTGGGATCAGGAATGGAACAGTATTGTTTTTAGTGACGAGTCTCGATTTTGTTTAGGCAAGCACGATGGTCGTGCCAGGGTTAGAAGGCGTCGTGGTGAAAGGATGAATCCACAGTTTTTTGTTGAAAGACATGTTCATCACACTGTTGGAGTTATGGTTTGGGGTGCTATAGCTTATGGTTCCAGGTCACCTTTAATCTTCATCAGAGGTAACATGAACGCGCAGCGTTATATCCACGAAGTTCTAGAACCCCATCTTTTACCCTATCTTGACACCCTGGCAGATCCAACTTTCCAACAAGATAATGCCCGACCACATGTTGCAAGAGTCACAATAGACTTCTTTCAACATAATGATGTCACATTGTTACCATGGCCACCAAGATCTCCCGACTTATCCCCAATTGAGCACGTGTGGGATATGATGGGTAGGAGATTGCTCAATTTGCAACGTACTCCTCAGACTCTAGAAGCACTTCGAGAGGAGTTGGAGGTTGCCTGGAATGAGATACCACAGGAGGACATTGACCACCTGATCAGAAGCATGCCTAGGCGCGTTGGAGAATGCGTAGCACATCAGGGTGCATCCACACATTATTAAAGGTCAAACGGCTTTAAAGCAGTGCAATCATTTTGAAATTTTTATCATTTACTTATTATGCTTCATTAAGTACTTATAGAAAATTTTATTAGAATAAAACCATTCAAACTGGATGTTCGGATTTATATGTCACTTAGTATATTATAGAACTTACATTACATACGTACATACATTTACATCGATGCTCGGTCTTCTATTATCACTAGTCTCCCATACATTTTTCCCGTACGATTGTCTGGAATATTTGCTCTTCTGGGATATATCTTTCGATATTCTTCAGCAGCAAGTCATTACGCAATTCTTAAATAAAGTGCAACTCTACATATTCTTGTAGTGACTACGGTGTCTTGCAGTCAAATTGCAATAACAGAATCACTCGTGTTATGAGTACGCCATTGTTTCTGCAACTCCTTTATAGCATAGGCGTTAGTTCACCATCCCAGGCATGTTTTAGCATCCTATTTATATTATAAAATGCTGCCATCCCTTACAGTGCTCATTTTTAAGAGATCTTTTCTACATTATTTGATAACATATAACAAAATATAACTTGCGAATAACATACTAACGTCTCAAAAGTAGCGATTTTCTCTAAACTCTTCAAAATGGAGACGGCTTAAAAATCAGATAAAGACACGTATGTTTTTTCTGATTGAAAATGACTCCCCTGTCACCCCATTTTGTTTGATCCATGACTTTTGGGACAGCTTGTATTACTGAGACCAAAAGAAATTTTTAGGATCCTATTGTTTCAAGTAGCTTTTGTAACTGATGGTTTAACTTTGGAGAAGTATTTCTGCAGGCGACATATGTATACCATAGAAGGCGTAGCAGAACAAGTAGCTCCATCCTACTCCCCCTTACTGACGCCTATGTCTCAATAAATTAAATTGATGCAAGGAATACATTCTATTTACGCTGATAGTGGGTGCAAAAATAGCATAGTGACAAATAAAATTCTTAAAACGGGTTCGAAGCTATTTGTTCACGTGCTACTATTTGCCTGATATGCTTGGAACTCGCCGTGATCTATCGCAAAAATACTAACAAAAAATTAAAGAGACTTTGTTAAACAATGATGTAAAGTGGTGGTAGACGGTTCTGCAGTCAGTCACCAAAGTGGAAATAAAATTTTAGAGGGTCACAGAGGTAGCCGTACGCCACTGCTTCCGCGGAATATATTTGAGTACGAGTGCAGGAATCTCACCGTACTCAAAGACAAGTCACGCTAACCTTCTAGACACTGCATATACTGAAGGCGATTTTGCGTATTAAGATAAAATGACGAGTATTTAAAAAAAACAGAAACTAGAAGGGAACATGTTATGGAAAGATTATATATATATAGATACATCATATTTCAAATTGAAGTTAGATAAAGCCGCGTACAGACCGAGATTCCAGCGCAAGCCAGGGCACATGTGGTTACAGATTTGGAGGCATTCGAATCGGTCTGTACGGCGCGAGCCAACATAAGCGTTCGCTCCTTGAACGGTACATCAAATGGAGGTTTGATTTGCTCTAACAGGATTTGATGCGCTTCTAGTATTTCGTCGTTGTCCACATCCGATGAGAGGAAACTCGTCGCTCGACATTAGCACGGAAGTTAACCCAACGCGGTCCAATTCAAAACTAAATTTTAAATGTAGACGACGTGTAGACGAGCGCATTCCAATACCTCCCAACAACAAACGCCAACGTCACATGTGCTTGAATTCGTTTGCTCGGCGTTGGATTTTCGGTCTGTACGCGGCTTAAGATTAGCAGCAGTATTCGTAATTTTATAGCTGGTTTGAACAACGACAGTTTTATCATGTGACAGCGAACTTGTAGTCGTAGTTCTAGCTGAATATATACTCGTAATTCCGTAGGAATTTCAGTCTAGAATATGAATGATGTTGGAGCTTCGCATCAAGATCAAGATATGACTACTTTGTGTTCTTATGAGAGTAATTGGAAGTTATGTCGAGCAAAAAAGATATCAGAATAGAACTCATAAAATAAAAAGTTAACTGTTGGACCTGCCAGATATCTATTACAGCTACATAATGATTTTGATTTTGCTTCAACAAAAAAAGCATAGCCAAAAGTAACATCAGTTCTGTGCCAATAGTAGCTAAATGGCTCTTGTAGAAGCGCGGACTTTATTTGAAGTGACCTTTAGTATTGAGCAAGCTTGCGATCTCTATAAATTGCTAGATTGCTACTTTCGATATATTGTTGAAGTTGTTAAGGCCTTTGACCTATACTACTCATCGTTGCTTGCCTTTAGGCCGTAGTAACTGTAATGTCTGAGTCTGTCATTAGTCTATCAGGTCTGGCGGCCCAGAAACTAAACAAGATGTAAGGGAAAGAAGTGAGGGAGAAAGAAGGGAAGGGAGCGTTTGAACTATATCCGATATTATGAGCCTTACTTTACTAATCAATCTATTTTGACAAATTTTAATAATATGTTTTTTGGATGTTATATGATATATGCATCACGAATGTCCAAAAATAATAAAATTTATAACAAAACAATTTTCATACAGGGTCACCACTATACCAAGGACGAAAAAGCTTTGTAGTTTTTGAAAATCGGTGCAGTGGCGGCGGAGCTGAAGGCCAAAAACTAAGTCTCATAAAAATCGATCTAATTTCGTTATTTAACCTTTCAGAGGCTGCAGACCATTTTTTTTAATTTTTGAGGGGTAAAAAATTAGGGGGTGGGGGGTTGTAGCGGGCTGACGGATGGTGTAGCAATATAATTTATCAGGTACGGTGACAATATTAGAACTGTAGTTATTCAGATGTAAAATAATAGGTACACGTTCACTACTCTTCTACAAATATGAAAATATTTCGTGGAATAAATAATACCACAACGTACGAACGATATTCTCGATTATATAAAAAAAATTAATTTCAAAAAATTAAATCCACAATAAATTTTTCACTGATATTCATTCTCTTCTACGACCTTATATCAGGATACAACAGCTTTCATAGACGTCGAACGATAAAGATACCAGAGCGGACAAAAGTTTTCTCAAATACCTTACATAGTGCATATACAAAGTCCATTGGTCCAGAATTGCGTGGGTAGTACAGAGTTAACATACTTGACGAATTTTTTCTATTCTCAGGTCAACGGGCTGCTCCTCATCGCCACCCAAAAATACGACTCCACAAGCCCTGAGGAGCTCACTCTTGAAGATGGGGACGTAGTCGAACTACTTGATACGCACGATCCTTCAGGAGCTGCTAAGTGAGTATACAGTACACATTCGCGTTCATTCCATAGAAATGGTTATTAACATGAATATTAAAAACACTTGAATGTAGTGAATTCCGTTAAACAAAAATATAAATCGTGTTGCAATCTAGATACCCTTGCGTAGAAACATAATGCTAATGTAAAAATGTACCCATGCTTACTAGAAGGTACAATGGATGTTAGCAATGTTTAGTCATATGTGCTACAATTCTACCGAAAGTATCAAAAATCAATTTCAGTTTACCGAAATGCAAGGTAGTTTAAAAAATGGTAGGAATATTTTTAGGACGGACAGTATAAATACAGGAAAAGCAACACGAGTTTATGTATACAAGACACTGGAAACATCGTCTATCCGAAATATGAATATTGGTTGAATTAATGTAACTGATAGATCTAAAGCTTTATCATTTAAAAATGAATTAACTGAATTATAGATATCTCGATGTTTCCAGACTGGTACAAGGCAATAATTTAGCGATATGCTATAAGATTCTGCAGAGTATAGAAATGTTTGAATTTACCCCAAAACCAGTTTAAAGTTTAAGTCACAATAACTAACTTGTTTCATAGATATCTTGTAAAAAAAGTGAGCGGTGACAAAAAACAGGGCTGGGTGCCAGGTAAAGTTCTTCAAACGCTAGATGATCCTGCTATAAGTAAAAATGGGGATCCAGGTGATGCCGTCTTCAGGCGTCAGTAAGTCTTTCTCGTGCGTGTACGTCTTATACTATTTTTTGGCAGGATGAATTATTTTTCCTGATCAATTGGCGGAAGATTTAAAAATTATTTATATAAAGAAGATTCATCCTGCTCATAACACATCTTCCACATGTTTGTCGTACACTAGCACGTATACGTATAAAAGTGAAGTACTTGTTCTGTCTATCACTGTTACATCATTTTACAATTTACTACTTTATTCACTTTGACCTTTACCGTATACTGTGTCATATCAATACATGATACTGAAACATATTGATTCTCTATGTAACGTTTGAATCTTGCCCTGTAGTTGTGCCCCTGACGCATTGATTAACGTATTCTACCTGTAGGTAACCAACCTAGTGCTGTATTCGCGTGCACAAAAAAATTTATGAGATAAAATGAGATAGCGTAACATTATCTATGATAATTTATCACCGCTGTTCCTCTATTTGCTATATACACCTTGGGAGGGTTTGTGACTCATGAATGGGGCGCTGTCTGTATCAGCATATACAAGCATATAGGTGACTACAGCGCATCTATGAGGCACAAACCTTTTCAAAGTATATACAATAAATAGAAAAACAGCTGTGACAAATTCTCATAGATGACGCTGGGTAATTTTGTGAGACACGCGAATGTACCATCAAGTTGACTATCTTGAGGTAGAATACATTAATATTACACAATTTATGCTCTATCTAGAGCATCAGAGATGCGAAGAGGTGACATTACCGACACCGCGGAATTGACAGTCCGCTTCAATGAAATAAAGAACTGTCGCTTATAGGCTTCTCGTCTTAAAGATGACTACGAAGTAGGTACGCACCACGCTAACAGCTTTGTAGAAGCTGCATAAAAATAGGCTGAATGTAATCTTTTTGCATAACCAACCCTATACAACGTAGTAAGAAATGAGCTGTCAGTGAGTACTACCTGAGAGACGAGACGCCTATGTGGAGATTTGTCCGGACTGTCATTCAGAGATGTCGTTAACTATTGAGTTTCCTTTTACCGACATAGGGTCGGCGTTTTGCGAACTACTCATAGGTATATACAGGGTGTCCGCAAAGTTGGTGTTTTCCTTTACACGACGTGTAGATCTTGAAAACATAAGCAATTTTTCTTAGTACCCTATACACCAATGTCTTAAGGGAACCGAGATAAAGGGCTCTGCAACATCAAAAATATCTGAATACCGTCCTGTAGCCGCGACCCGCCGAGATATCCCCAACTGATACAAGGTCTCAACCCGACTTCAGAACTGGGTCGGGGTCAGTGTGTCAGGTTAGTATGCAACCTTCAACCGACGGTTACGGTCACGCGTTTAGAGGTAAACGAACTCGTATAATCGATTGCGTTTCAAAAAACAACAAGCACTAGAGAGGTGGCTAGAGAAGTGCAAGTATCAAAAACTAAAGTGTGGCAAACGCTGCGTGAAGAGGGGCTGTATCCGTTTCACGTCCAACGTGTACAAGCCCTTCAACCTGACGATTTTCCAGCAAGAGTGCGGTTTTGTGAGTGGTTGTTGCATCAACATGACAATAATCCGGACTTTTTGAAGTGCATATTGGTGACAGACGAATCTACGTTCACGCGTAATGGGGTGAATAACTTTCGCAACAGTCATATTTGGTCATTTTCAACAAACATTTTCGGTGAATGTTTGGGCTGGCATGGTGAACGGTATGCTCATTGGACCATTTATTCTCCCAAATCGATTGGACGGGATGCAATACCTAGACCTTTCACGCAACATTTTGCCTTCCTTGTTAGAAGATGTGCCATTAAGTGTAAGACAATCAATGTGGTTTATGCGTCTGCTCGGTAGCGCTTCAGCTGATTTCATTTTCTGTTGGAGCGGTATGATTTCGGGCAGAGACGTACTTAGCCCTTCTCGTCAACTGGAGAGTGAGTACTTTTTCCTTTATTATTTTTTTACTTGGTCGCCCTCGTTTCACTACACATTACCTTTGTTATTTCAAGGGTAGTTGTTTCTGAAAAGGAAAACCCCAACTTTGCGGACACCCTGTATAGTATATATAGTATATATATATAGTATATATATATAGTATATATAGCAGTATCACCTCTTCGCCCACTACTATACTGAGATCTTGTGCAGTCCTTCTTTCGTTTGTTTGCTTTTCGTTGTCTCTCTCCAATGACTAGACTTGTACCATACCGATGGTTGCCAACTAGCGCGAAACATTGTATACCGTTAGTTATGGTCACCGAGACGGAAAGCAAACAGATCATAATAAACCTGGGGAACCAAGGTATACAGACATCAGAGTGGTAGTATCACTGGGAGGCGATACAAACGTAAGAAAAGACTGACTTAAAGGCAAAGTGATCCTACCACTAGTGACTGTTCAAACATTAGAGCTCAATGTGAGAGTCCACACAATACTAAATCAGAGCGATTGAGTGTGAAAGTTCGACTCCAAAGCATTATAACGTGCATATTCAATCGATGAAGGTTTATACAGTACAAGCAGTAGACGTATCATCGTTAGGTATTATAATTTTGTGAAAAATGTTACTCTAGAAATGAAACTGAAGTTATCCAATATTTTTCAGGGCTGTGGTGAAAGAACTGATCGAAACCGAGCAAGAATTCGTGAGAGATATGGACTCAGTTATTCAGAAATATTTCACATTTCCGGAAGAACCTGGAAAAGTGCCAAAAGTAATCAAGGATAATGCAGATCTCTTATACGGAAACTTCAAGGAAATTGCAGAGTTTCACCGAACGTAATACCTAATCGTAGCAAAGCTCTACCATTTTGATTTTTTATTTAGAATTATATTAATATTCGTGGAATATAGAAGGAAGCTGAAATTGCATCACAATATACGAAAGACTCAATTTTCAGTGTCAAATCTTAAGTGTAGCTAATACATTATTTTAACGAATTCAGACTAGGTAGAAGGAGCAAGCCTACGCTTTGTTTGTCTTCAAAAACTCAGTCTGTAGTCAGAATGAAAGTGGATACTATTCTCATTTTAGTGTTTTTTAAAGTTTACAAATAGTTGTGGGCACAAGACTTATGAAGGTAGACACAACGTTGTTACTTTGGTAGGCAATAGTAGTCAATTGAATCGAAAGTATGCACTAAAACTACGCAATTTTGGCGACAAACGTACATTAAACATATAGGCGTGGCTCGTTCTAATCTCTTCGAATTCGTTGAGGGCTATTAGTATATATGATAATTCAAATTCAATATCACCGTGTAATATGATAGTATTGTAACAAGCTGCTAAAAAGAGTATGTTCCCAAGCAATATTCAGCTTGTTCATCTTGGGCTTATAATTTTACTGTCTGGAATAGAAATAAGCTTCAAAGAGGAATAATTCATAATCGTGGACAAAAAACATACAACAGAGGCTAGAAATGGATCGGGAGAAATATAAAGATGAGGTAGCGCTATGAGTACGATATCGAAAACGGCTAGCTAACCGTTTGTTGGCAAAATGGGAATAAACTGCCACAATTTTGCAAGCTTCATGTGGAAGGCATTTGAATTAAGCAATTGTTTATGCGGCCAACTTTTTAACTCTAAGCCATCTTTGGGCAACGTGTATCTCCCTTCTCATCTACTTATGAGCTTCATCGTATAATAATTTTTCTATTCCTCTATGAAGCATCTATATATAAAGTACACATTGACACCTCCGCTTATTCACAGTTCACACTTTAAATGAGGCAAACGGTCAAAACGGATGCTCCTACTTGGTGAAATTTGTGTTTCTTGCGGTAAAAAAGTGTTAATGTCAAGTAAATTACCAAAAATGTATGGCGTTTTAATGTACGAATAATATGATTTAATTGAAAAGCAACATTATATTATTACTCGGTACTCTACTGTGAATAGCAGCTGACCTATGTTATATGTAAACTTCCTAAATAAGCTTCTGACTGCGCCCATGATTAAAGCGTTAATTCATAGTCAGTTTTTAATTTTCTGTACCTGTTATAAAATACAGATACATCTAATAATAAGCTAACGTTATCACCTATTGACCAGCAGGAAATGTTAATTTACGTACTTACATACATAGCAAATCCTATCGTCATACCGAATTTACTAATATCCAGTTGCATATACGAGGCCTTAATTCTGCACTCTATACATGTCTGCATATACTGTTTTATTTATGTATTGATTCCTAACGTACGTTGTTTGTGCTGGTAGAATATAATTGTCTTTGAATTCAACATATTTCCTTGCTTGAAGAATTTAGAAAAGACACTTTGACCTCAAAGCCAATGATATATTATGGCTGTCAGAAAGACATAGCAAACAGGGCATGCAATTTTCTAATTTTAGCGAAAAAAGTCGCCGTTTTAAAAAAAGCCCTTCTTCTGTGGAAATAACTATCTATATGACGGTTTCTTGTGATCTCGAATGACTTCTCTTAGATATAGCGATACAACTGCAAGACCAGTAGGTATATGGAATTACACGGTTTGTAACTTATTTCTTAAGAAGCAAGAATATATTGTAGAAATTGACGACAAATATATTTTGAAAGTAGGAATGTGATTTTCAAATAAATTTGTCAATTTTATCGGAGTTTCTTGACATACTGCTACACATTCCAATTTTTTCGGTCATAAAGAAAGATAGCAAAAATTGACACAAAGGTTACTGATCTAAGGTGTGTACATTTTAATTAAACATAACGAATTTGCTACATATTTTATGAAATCACGCCTTTTGTTGGTTGGTCGGTATGTGATAACCTTAGTTCACTAAGAGCTTTTTTATAAGCATACGCCAATTATATTAAAATACTAGTGTATCTAAGCTACACAGCATTACTACAAAAATAAAACGCCTCTCACCACATAGATGCAAAAGTTTGTTGACAATAACTCACCCTGAAACAAATAAAAAAAAAGTTACCAAGCAATCTAGTGCAGTTCCAGCAAAAATGTTAGTGTAGCCGTCTAGTCTCGAGTATATCGATGTGTCTATCCAAAATGTGATTATCTAAGATAATGTGTACCCCTCACTTCAGATAATATAATCTTGTATACATTTTAGCACGATCTGTGGCAGCGCTATCTGATGAATGCGATCCTAACTAACTCACCATAAGCGATAAATTTCTTTATAGGAAATAGCACTATTCAACCTTTTAGCAGCACGATGTATTATCCACCACCTCTTATTGCTTCCAATTACTTCTGAATTTTGAACATTGCAGTTATTCTACAATCCCCAAAGCAAGGGAAATGTTTTGATCTTAGAAAAAGCGGCAAAAAAATGTTCTCAAAATTCGAAAATAAAATATTACTCCCTGGACAAATATCCTAGTTTTAAAATTTAATTTGCTGTCAGTAAAATATATAGATTTGTATTCGGTTTCATATTTCTCTGACCAAATGAAACCCAACTACTTACGTTCCGGCCACCACGGTGACTTTTTCAAACTAGAGATGAGAATCTCTCCCTCTTTGCTCACAATTTTTCCATGCACGAAATAAGAATATCTTTTTAATTTCACACAGTCTTGCCTGATGCTGTTTCACCACCTTTACTCAAGTTTTTTTTTTATACTCCAACTACCACGAAGGCCTAAGGCCTAAACACCCATTGGGTACCGTGGGGCTATAGGGGATACAGGGGAAAGGGGGAACGCCACACGGACTCTGGCGAGGGAACACGTGTGTATGCAACATGCACAAATTCTGGCTCCGCCTACGAGATCCGCCGGGTGGTACCTCCGCGTTCGACAGTCAGAGACTATCTACCACCTACGGACAATCACAACATCCATAGCCAAGAGAAAAATTTCTCCTGGGACGGGATTCGAACCCGCACAGCGCACGGCGACTGATCAGGAGACCGAAGAGTCTACTACTGCGGCCACCGCTGCCTTTGTGTATGACTGACTAAATTGGCACAATTCTGTGAATGAATTTCACCAAGTAAGAGCATCTACATTTTGTAAGACAACGGTTATATTTATATGACAGTATTCTGCTATGACAATACTCTTACCACAACACACATCTAATATTGGATGAATTTTATTGTTTCAATGGAAAAAATTAATTTTATGTAATTTTTACCTCACCCTTTCAACATTTTAGGGTCAAACTAGAAAGGTATCATAACTGTTATTTCATGTATTGTGTCTTTGTCTATTCTCATATCTACAATATTTCCGCAACTAGAGAGATCTTGGAAAATAATGAATAACTGTTTATGAGTATATACAATGGACGCGTTCAGGAAACGAAAGCGTCCCAGAGGTTGCCAAAGTATAATTTTCACACCGAATTTGACATTCCAATGTCCACTTGACAAATATTTTGATTCGATGTCAAATGGATCGGCACTGCAGTTACCTGGACGCATCCACTGGCATATAGTTAACGTTAAGATGCGATTCCACCAGTGTGCTGAACTGTGCGGCACTCTAATGCACAGTGTACAGCACAAATGTTTCTTCTGGTCGACTCACTCACGCAAACAATAGCAAATTGTGCGCAAACATTTCGGAAACGTTCGCGAACATCAGTTACTTTTGTGCGCTCACAAATGCAAGCAGTGGACTCGCGTTTTCGAGTACATACTTGTTGTTCGCGAACTCAGTATTGCTTCCGCTCCTGGACTGAAAATATTTGTTTGTACGCGCACTTCTTTTACGAAATTTAAAATGGACTGGACGAATGATAGAATTATAAAATTTATTCAAGCAATTGAAACTTATCCTCTTCTATGGGATTCCAGTCAGCATGATTATAAAAACACGACGCCACTCAAGAGTTGGCTCAAAGTTTCAATTGTGACTCGACTGAGGTAATGAGAAAATGGAAAATTATTTTGGCTCAGTACCGAAGAGAAAAGAAGAAAATAGCGGATTCAAAATCTTCAGGTTCGGGGTTTTCAGATATATTATTTGTTATTTTCTTTTGTTTCAAGATGTAATGTTACTTTCTTTTGCAGTCGTGCTAACACAAATTTGATTTTGAAATCACCTGGAAGGGTTATGTGTTTGAATTATAATAGTATTTGTAAGTTTTGTGACATATTTTTATGTTCTATTTCGGAGCTAAATTGTGTTCTGCGGGAGCGCCTTAGATAGTTTTATAAGTTAGGCTTTTGTAATATTTCTAATTTAAGATTTTGGCCTATAAATGGAATATTATCTGTTGGGCAATAAAAGCTATAAATAAGCCTTATTGAAACAGGGACACATTTTCTGTAGTTGGTGTCTTGCTTTGCAATATGAGGACTAAGTGCATTGACCAGCAACTCAAAATCTTCACACGAGTAAAATTTTTAAATCCACTTAAGGGATCTACTTTTATTTCTTCTACAAATCTATTCGTTTCTTCATTCCATCGCTGCAGAAAAGGTCTCACCCAACATCGTGGTATTCTTCTTCGTTTCTTTTTAAGCTACCTATTAAAACACAAGCTGCGGCACAAAACACTACATATTCCCGCCCATCCATATTAAGACCTGAAGTTAGTGAGAACTTTGCTTGGTAAACATGTTCGTGCACAAGTGTGCTACACTGTACGCTTACAAAAGTTATGCACTGCTTTGCCGGTGGACACAGAAGATAAATTCGATAGCAGTGAGCACATTCAATGCTGGAGTTTCACACAAAATGTTTGTAAACATATGTGCTGAACACTATTTTGGTGGAATCGTACCATAACATTACTAGGGCTTACCATCTAACCTAGTCTGTAGACCTAAACTGAATTAAGTATTCTCTTGGCTTCATCTTTTTCTGTTGCAGGGTGCTTATGGAAGGTATTAAATATCACGCAAACGATCCAGTATTATTAGGAAAGACATTTTTAAGACTTGAAAGAGACTTTGACAAACATGTTTTATATTTCCAAAATGAACCTATTGCGCAAGAGTTCCTTGATACATGTGATGAAGCTTATGATTATTTTTCGGTAAGTAAGTTTACTTAGGTACAAAGATGGATCACACATTAGTGTCAACTGTCGATAAAAAAACGTTAAAAATGGTAAATGCTTTTCCCGATATGTTTGTTAAATATGGTGGATGCTCTTCAAAAAGCAATATTCTGATTTAATATTATTCTCCTTTTTACAATGAAGTAATCAGTTTTCATGACTTTTATGTGGTTTTTTCGCCATTTGAAAGAAAAATAATGCTGAACGAGATAGAATGCTCAATTATGAGTGCTTTAAAACAAACGTGGCTCAAAAAAGTTGATATTTGTAGAATTGGCATGGGATTAACTTAATAAAAACAGTTTTGAAAAAAAATACCATCTAATATTGCATGTCGTGATCCATCTGGATTTCAATTCAATTTTGGGACACCCTGTATATGTATTATACCGGATATACCGGTTGATGCTTTTATGTGCAAAATGAATAATAAGGTAATCAATGTGAATTTTTATAAATATTTTTAACTAAACTATCCTTTTTTGTGTGGTATCAAATTGTGGGTAAGAAACTACCCTTCTTAGCTGTGCTAGTGAGCCACACTTGGTCTAATTGAAGAAGTTGACTTACGACCATAAATACAATTTTACTAACTTTGAACAAGTCTCAAGAGGCTATAAACAACAAAAGACAAAATCTATTTTTCTGTGACCAAAATTTACCATTTTATCATATTCATGGCACTTACAATTTGTAACTTCGACGTCAAAAGGTAGCAAATGCAGCGTCAGTATGGTCGGAATGTAATTTTCTATTCAAATGAGTAAAAGTTTATATATACTTCCTTTATGAGGTCGTGGAGTTTTAGTTTTAACCCATAGATAGGAATATGAAATTCTGCAGTATGAGGTTTGCCAGCTATTTTTCGTTTCTTATCCAGCTGAAATTCGCTCTGTATTGGGAGCTGTCCAGTTTCGATATTTACGTACTTGTATGTTATAATAAAATCTACTGATCAGTTCAATTGTTTTTGTTATCCAAGGTGTTCCTTAATGATATGCGAATATTTAAGGGTGTGAATCTACATGAAAAATTAATGTTAGTTTGCTTTATAAACTATGGTCCAAAAATGTTTCCTTACAAAAACTCGGGGTGTTGAAGTTTTAGGAAAAAAGTGGAAAGTAATTAATATTTTCAGAACCGCTTCAGATATTTTACTGATATTTAGTACGTAATGAAAGTTAATGAAGTTGCATATTTTTCCATGCAAAAATAATTTTCAGCTTTAACAGTGGCGTGCTTACGGGTATTGACTTCGATATTTTTCAAGAAATAATGGTACGCCAATGGTTTTTTGCCAAATAAAAATTTCTTAATTCTCAGTTCAATTTAAAACAAATGATCTCTCTTGAGTTGTTTCTCTTCGATGCGCCATTTTTGAGTAAAAAAATAAAAACCGTCCTATTTTCCGAGAAAATTAATGTAATAATTGAAGAATGCAATTTAGCAATAAGTGTCTAGTTGCTCTGGAATATGTCACTGGCTTTTGACATGTAACAAGTCTCTCTTATCCAAGTCTGTTCGCTGTGACATCTTTTGCATTATTTAGTTTTTACAATCTTGTTAATAATGGTGAATTATTCAAATGCAGAAATGGCGGAAATACATTACGTATATGGCCTTGCCTACGGTAATGGTGGGCAAGCCAGACGGATTTATCACCAGAGATATCCCGATCGTGCTTTGCCAGATAGTCGAACCTTTTCTAATATTCATCGTCGTCTTGTTGAAACTGGTTCTGTCCGAAAAGGAACATCTGAAGGTAGACCTATAAGTGTGAGAACACCTGAAATTGAAGCAGTGCTACACGAAGTCGAAGAACATCCTGAAACGAGTACGAGGAAGATCGCTAGACAGTTAAATATTTGCCATCAAATTGTTTGGAGAATTTTAGTATATTTTTTGTTATACCCTTACCATATTTTAAGAGTACAGGTATTAATTCCAATTGGTTTTTCAAGGCGTGTGACCTTTTGTCAGTGGTATCTTCAAAAAGTTTCACAAAATCCGCAATATAAATCAAAGATTCTGTTCACGGACGAAGCTAATTTTTCGAAATACTATACCATTCAGAATTTCCACAATATCATTTGTGGGCAGAAGAAAATCCCTATGCCGTAACCGCAACCCATTTCCAACACCAATTTTCGCTTAACGTATGAGCAGGAATTATTGGCAACCACTTTATTGGCCCATTCTTCTTGCCGGGACGACTTGACGGACAGACTTACCTCAATTTTCTTCAACAACAGTTGCCTTTGCTGCTTGATAATGTTCCGTTAGTAATAAGAAACAATATGTGGTACATGCATGATGGTGCACCAGCTCATTTCAGTGTAGCGATTCGTAATTATTTACAAGTTGTGTATCCAAATCGTTGGATTGGCCGCGGTGGGCCCCAAGAATGGCCACCAAGATTCCCAGACCTCAACAGTTTAGATTAATTTTTGTGGGGCTATCTTAAGTCACTAGTGTACACAAGTCCCATTAATACTGTAGAGGAATTAAAAGAAAGAATAGTTGCAGCTTGTGATAGAATAAAAAACACTCCAGGGATATTTCAACGAGTGCGCAATTCCATGAGAAGGAGGGCGGAAGCATGCATACTAAGTGGAGGGGGCCTTCTTACAATTTTTGTAATCATTTCGTTGGTTTTAATGTTATGTTTATGTTGGCAGTTGTTGTTGTTCGTTACCCGTGATGTGTTTAATTTTTCCAATTAAATTAATAATAATTTTGCAAGTTAGACATTAGAACGGTTCTTATTTTTTCACTCAAAAATGGCGCAACAAAGAAATTGAACGGGGAATTCAAAAATAATTTTTATTTGCGTACCATTTTTGTCTTAAAAAATATCGAAGTCAATACCCGTACGCACGCCACTGTTAAAATTAAAAATTAATTTTGCATTGAAAAATATGCAACTTTATCAACTTTTACTACATACTAAACATAAGGGAAATATCTGAAGCGGTTCTGAAAATATTAATTTCCTTTTTCTTTCCTAAAACTTCAACATCCCGAGTTTTTGTAAGGAACTATTTTTGGACCCTAGTTTATAAAGCAAACTAAAATCAATTTTTCAGGTAGATACACACCCTTAAATATTCGCATATCATTAAGGAACACCCGGTATATATTTAAACTAATAGTCATTTCTGGCTAAACCGGAAGTGATGTGATATATCTTATATCTTAATTACGTTTATGTATCTCTAAAAATAAAAAAGTTATAGGGATACACGACCTGCTAGGGATATCTCTGGTATTGTCGACTTGCGAAGACTTGGCTGTTTCTAGGTAAATGTGCATAAAAACTCGATATAACCTTACAACCTTAAGTACTACAAATATCGCTGGATTTTACTCATTGTTTACCACGTATAAACATCAGTCAAAACATTCTGGATCATGAACATGAAATAATTTCGTAGCTTGTTTGACACTCAGCCAAATGGAACACAGCGGCTTATATAAACAAATAATGCAGTTATAGCCTCACAGTTGTATAAACGGATAATTGGATAATGCGAAATATAATTCAAATAATTTATCGTTTTTGTCAAATGGAATTTATGATGAAAGTCATATAAAATCGGTAATCAAACACGTCTGCATTAGTCATAGTGGCTCGAAAAGTTTGCAATATGGTAGGGCAGTAAAATATAATCATCCACAACGATGATAATAATAATAACCTTAATCTCCACTCACAGGGCAAGGAAAACATATAGAATAGGTCTAAGTAATCTACTCGAGCGCAGCGAAAGGTTTCTTATTGGTATTGTAAAAACATTGAGTTGTAATAATACATTCTAATTGGCCTGCCTATAGGGCCGAAGGTTTAGATTTCAGGTTAATAAGCGCATATAGTCAATTTTCTTGCAAACTATCAATCTAGCGTCAAAAGAATTAAATTAAAATTTCCCGTCTGATCAACAGTTTACCAGAAAGGGAATGATAGCGCCTCTCATTCCTTTTTATAGAAAAAGTATCGTTTGCTCTGAGGAAGCAATCAACTGCGGCAGAAATTTGTGTCAGGTCTGCAGTGCTACCTTCTGCAAAACTGTGTACTAGATTTATTGTTCACTCATGTTTTGCAGAAACAATGTTTGACCACCAAAAACTGATCCCTGTGCAATACCTATATCAATGCTTTGCGGCGAGTGGGCGCCTCTAATAATAATATTAGCACATTTACTAGGTTTGTTCCAGCAAAATTTTCAACTAATGCTCAGAACATATATTTCTTTCTCGAAGCATCCAGTGACATGGTGAGAACAAGAACGTAACCTAAGATACGCTAGTTTTGGCACACGGTTTTCTGATGCGAATTTCATTGGGCTTTTGCCAAACAGAAGATTACGAACTTCTTGATGGCACGATAATAAAATGGAAAACTACCTGCACATTAAAAATGCACAAGAAATACAATTATCTTTACTTTATAACCCAAAAGTTTTGATTTCAAATGTAAACCACTAAACAGTGATGCAAACCAAGACATAAACACTAACAAGGAAACAAGACATCCAGAATGTTCTCTCGAATGGTTGACCCGACTTTCAGCTACGGATGCCTTAGCTTGAACGAATATTTTAAAATGCTCATGCGCGTTCAGTTCCAAAAGTGTTCCATACGTGTGCAGAAACAAAGCTACTATATAATTTAAACACCATACGGACTGTCAATGGCAACACTGGCTCGGCGCTATCCGCATCGCACTGTTTGCTTTGATAAAAAGATGTGGCATCTAGTAGACAACTCACATGAACAACCAAGGGCAATCATGGGCAAGTCCGCTATAAAGAAATGAGAGCAGGAATTAAAGGGTTGGTAGCTCGAGCGACCTACGCTTCTACTTATTGGCTTCATCAGACCCAAACAGATGTGCATCGAAGACACTGAAGTGAAAACATACGCCCATCATATCTAGATGCTGGTGTAACCTGAAAGAAAACAAGGATGTAAGTGTAAATACAACTAGAAGCCACCAACAAGAGACACCAGGCATACTTTTGGCTACAGTCAGAAGACTTCGTGTTTACAAGGCATTAACTAGCTATAGCTACACGTCTTGGAATTTCAAACCCATGATTAAATAGAAAGAAGGACATATAGTTTTGCGAAAACAGATGGAAAACAAAAGAATATCGTGGGCATGTCCGCATATCTATTTGTCTTCCTTTGTATTTACTCATGGGCTTAAAGTACCACGACGAGTAGGTATAACTGGCCAAACACGAGGTCGTCCGACCGAAGCCACAAATCTGCCTGGTGGCTCTTGTTGGTGGCTACTAGTTGTATTTCCCTTTCCATCCTTGTTTACCTTTGGGTTACACCTGTATCCCGATTTGATGAACATATGTTTGCACTTCGGAGTTTCCGATACACATTCAGTTGGGTCTGAATAAGCCGCTAAGCAGAAACGTACGTCGCTCGGGTTACCAATCCTTCCATTTCTGCTCCTGTTCCTTTATTGCTGACATGCCCACGATTGTATTTTGTTATTTATACTCCCTATGGTGCTGTAGGTGTAAAGTATTCAAATAAGTGTTTGAGAAGCGTTTTTTGTAAAAATTCGTGCATTAATACCTCTCCGCCCATCACTACCTGTGACATCCGAGCAGTCTTCCTACGGGGTCTATCTATAGCCTCCTGTGAGCGCCGCGACGCCGAGCGCCGTTTTTCGCCAGTCGATCCGCGTAAGTACGCCGTGCTACGTGTTGAGAGAGCTCGAAACGTCGCGTCCGCATCCACAGTGTGGAACAGCAGCACGATCTCGTACCTCCCTGTACTTGAGCTGAAGACGTCTCCGCCAATCAGCATCCACAGGTAGGCTTGCAAGAAGTCGGACGCAGCAGGTGCGCTGGACGCGCAGGTGGCTGGGCAGGTGGAGGGGGCAAGGGCGCTATGAACTTAGATGGAAACGCGATACGATTTTTATTCGCGGTCCATGCTATTTTTAAGCCGGTTCTGCTTTGCTCCCACGCGCGAAAATATGTTATTGATGGGGCGCTGGGTGATGTGTATCATCAGAATGATGTCGCCATTGTTTAACGTCTATGCGAATTAGGTGGGCGGTATGATGCACGTCCAAGAAGTGACATCACCGATGATCTCTACGAATTGTACCTTAGGACTTTAGAGGTACACAACAAATAACTGAGCTCTATCAAAAAGCCATTAATGCAATCTCCCGAGTGTCAACATTGCTAAAAACGTTATAAAGTCTCAATTGTACAGGGTGTTGATAAAGTATGTAGACAAACTTCAACCATCGAATCCTAGGTCAATTTGGAGACTAAATGCTCTTATAAACATGGGTCCGTAACGGCTTTCTTTTAGAGCTAGAGCACTATCACTAAAGAAATACGAGTAATGTTCCAAATATTTCTATGAATAATGAAACGTATTTATTGAAAAGTTGGTGTAACCTATGATAAATTTTGCATGTTTTACAAGTTCCTGATGCTCAATATGAACGTGATTTTTTGAAAAAGAATTATTTAGAAGGTCAATAGTTACATATTAAAAGTATTGCGATCAAAACAAATCAATGTCATGCTATTTTTTCAAAAAATACTGGATAACATTATCCATATCTACGTACATGGAAGGTCTGAAAACAACTGTAAATCATGTGATATTCACCACAGGGCATACTTAATTAAAATAGAATACGCTCCATTTTTTTATAATTTTTTAGAACATCACCATTTCTTTTAGTGCTAATATCCTCTAGCTTGATAATAAAGCCGTTGCGGACCTATGTTCATATAAGTAAGTTTCGTCTTCAAATTGACCAAGGATTGGATGGTTAAAGTTTGTCTACTTACTTCATTAATACCCTGTATAGTAACTGCTCGAATGGATTTGAGTTATCTATTCAGAGTCAAGCAGTTCTTTTTACACCTAACATCTATACAAAACCTAGATCTCACTTTAATCGATCTACTACTTTTTTGTCTTAGCAGATGCTGCTCTCATTACACTGACCTTTCTCACGAGGCCTTGATGTGGACAATTTGATCCATTGGTGATATCGGACATTATTTTCCGCAGCAGTCTGAAGACTCAGACTCTTTCACATATACAATCCTTTTCTACAGATATTCCAAACCAGTTTTTACCTATTTTTTATGGTAGCCTATATTCTAAGGCAGCCAAATGGATTCTTCAGGCTTCTATGTATCATTGCAACTCGATCGTGAGACCGATGCTGAGAGCTGGGCTATGGAATTGTACAAAAAATATCAGAAGGGTATAAATAACAAAATAGTTCTTATTTGATCATGGTTCCTTAATATCTTTTAACTACATTGCATTTGTATATGATAAAGCAACTATCTAGAAGTATTTTACAGAAAAAAGGTATAAAGTATAACCTTATATGTACATGCAGCTAAAGATCACAGATGAAAAAGTTCGATTTTTTTAAATTTAAGAAAACATTCAGGATCTCAAAAACTGTGATATTTTTATACAGATAAGTTTTTGATATTTGGGAGATCAGTAAAAAGCCTACCTTCTCCTTAAGTTTGTCGTGGTACCTATTCGACACCCTGTATACAAACGTATGTACGGAGAAAGATAACGGATTGAAATTGATTTTTAAGAATTTTTGTGCGTCTCAACCCACCATGGCGAAATACTGCAATGAGCTTCAATGGTGGAATGCATTCTGAATGACTGAAGGATTTTAGTGAGTATGCCGTTTTTGGAGAATCTATCACTTCGGACGGGAAGGAATCTGTCAAGCCTTCCTGCCTAGGGGTGGATATAAAAGCTCTCCCCTGTCTAAAAAAAACTAACCAAGATAATTATTTCTTCCCTGTGTTCTGCGTAAACTAGTATAGCGTTATTGCTATATATATTTCGGTCGGGCCTTTAATATTCTCTCTACTTTCTAATTTACAAAGCTAAAGACTTGAGTAGACCATCCATCCACTAAGTCAATTTCAATTTCAATCCTATTCCTTAGTAGTGGGACTAAAAATCCAACTCACAGCTTTCCAGGCAATAATAAGTACCCTCCTGCAGCTTTTTAAACAAAAATGTCTCAAAGATGCTGCCTGCAAATGTAAGATGACGATTCACTTAAACACCTCCAAAACCCTGATCTTGTAATCTTACTTTCATTAATAAATGGCATCCATGGTTCGGCTTAATCAAGTCATATATCTTATTTGCGAGAATTGAGACTGCTGGAGACATGATTACTCGTGAGAAAATCCTCTGGGGCGTATATGACATCCAGTTATTTCCAATTTCTATTAAACAAACCATATAAAAATCCCAAACTTATCGATGAATCTCATCTAACGGATCCCTTTCGCACCGTCATGCCGTCGGCGATCTAGCTCTGCCGCTTCAGCAAAGGACCTTGCTCCCCAGAGCTCTCCTCGATGATGCCGCTGCACGATGTGCCTGCCAGACAGACCCGCCTGGCTTCGGCCTCGAATCCTAACCGTCTCTAACTTCCGTACACCAGAACTGATCGATACGACCGCTCCTTTGTCCCTGACCTATCGAGACTTTGGAACAATCTGCCTGAAGCTTTTTCCGCTTGTACTAACCTTAGGCAGATCAAAAATCGATTAACAAAGTTTCTTTAAGCTCCTACTTCGGTATAAAAAATAAGTCTAGAGAAGAGCTAGCCGCATTCTCCGGTGCAACAGGATATGTTCTTCTGCACCCTGAGAGCTTTAGAGTAATTGACAAACTACTGTTTTCACTCCAGACACATGACCAAGGTTTAGAGAAGAGTTCAACTTCCGGATTAATCACTTCCCCCTAAGGTGCTTTCTGATGAGAGAGCGATGTCCAGCATGTTTCCTCTATCCCTCTATGATACTATACTATTCTATGTCTGCAAGGTAGAACCGATGGACGTTGCTTTCCCACTCAGAGTTTGTTAAGGTGTACAGTATTTGATTGAATTAATTGTCGAGCAGAAGCTGTATAACCTCGGTATTAGGGACTTTGTTTTACGCTGGCTTGTTTCTTTTCTATCAAACAGACAGCTTAAAACAAGAGTGAATGGTTCTTCGTCGGGGGTGTATGACATAAGCATTAGTGCAGCCAAGGGCTCGGTACTAGCGCCACTCCTGTTAATTTTGTTTATGAACGACCTAAAACTATCTGGCCATATGGTCAACTACGCTGATGATACGTCAGTAGTAGTTAGTGCCGCAACACCAGTTGACCTGCTCCAAGCAATTGAGCGAGTTGAAACAGAAACGAACGACTGGTGTATATCAAACCGCCTTATACTAAACCCTGATAAAACAATGTGCATTTCTACAATAGCAAACCACGGTTGCACAACAATATCTTCTCAGACGGAACCGAATTCTTAGGAACTCATATTGATGGGAAGTTGGGCTGGCAGTGACATGTGAATCATGTCAAACTCAATAGTGCATACTTTGCAATCTTGAAACTCAAACAAAACATCTCCCAAACAGCTGTTATAGATATCTACTACGCCTTGGCTTACCCGCATCTTAGCAATAATATAACACTATGGGGACAAGCAGTCATGAACAACAGAGTCTTCATCTTGCAGAAAAGAGTACTCAGGCTGATTTTCAATATCAACAAAAGAGACTCTTGTAAAGATATTTTCAAAACATATAATCTGCTAACATTAATATCCATCTATATATACAAATGCGCTCCCTTCGCATTTAAACATAGGACCAGTTTTATTCAAAACAACACAGTTAACAGGTACTACAACACCAGAATAGGTTTTGACTTAAGTATACCAGTCCACGCAACAGCCCAGTTTCAGAAATCACCACTCTATGCCTGTACAAAAATTTACAATAAACTACCGATTGAGTTCCGCAGAAGCACTAATATGTTGACATTAATGAAACGTCTGAAAAGATATCTATCAGAAAAGTGTTACTACACCGTCGACGAATACCTAACTGCTTAATTTTATTTATTTATTCTTTTTATTTATTTACTAAGCTTAACGGAAAAGGAACAGTCTATTTATTGCTCCACTTCTAGACATTTTAAGTGCTCAATTGTTTTTATTTATTTTAAAATTGATTTTTTTTCATGTTCGTTAGATGTCATTAAGAATTTGTTTGTGTTTGTAATGACTCCTATTTTATTATTTATTATCTCAATTACTGTTTTAATTAACTACCTGTTCTCTTTTGCATATCGCATACTTATGTATTGTATATGTAATGTTGACAAGTCTTATGTCATAGCTATTTATGACCAAAAAGACAATAAAGACTATCTATCTATCTGTCTCGCGTTCTTCATCGTAGTCATAGTACCAAGCGCTGTGTACCTGTATTCCTCAAATCTGCATCTGGCTCTTACGGAAAATACGAATTTGTAATCCACGTTGCCGCCCGCATCACCAGCATTATATCAGTCGCTGACAGGTGTTGTAAATTTGAAAGTTCAGTGATGATGTTACCGAAATAACTCAATATTTCGTTAAATATACGGCGCGATATTTTCATTTGAAAGGCATAAGTGTCACTGCCGGGGTATTTTCGTACGCCAAAAATAGATTTCCAGATTTGTTTGTAGAACTTGGAATGAGCAACTTGTCCTACTTTATTTTTGCAGTCTACTTCACATTTCAATGTCTGATTTGTAAAAGAGGAATATATGTATTTGTCAAAAATTCAGCTCTAAATCCGATGTCATATGCAATAATAATTGTCTCCTTGTGCAAAGACAGGAGAAAAAACTAGATGAATAAGGAGAGTAATATACAAGAAAACTGTATAATCAGATAATTGCCCCAAAGGTCGCCATTCACCTACCAGTCTTAAATTAATGTCAGTACGTGAAGTGATGCAGAAATATGCAAATCGGCTTTGGCAGCCTAGTACTCGTTGAAGCTGAAAATAATTGAATTCTAAAAATGATACAGCATAACTGATGTGTTTTCGCCAAAACTACGATTCATAAATCTTTAAAGCCAAAAATAACAAAAGATGTGTATTTGACTACTCTAATTAAAATAACGTTCTTAATTTATTTATATGTAGATATAATTCAAATACGCAAAGGATACAAGGTATTAGTATCTGAACCGAGTTCATGTAAACATAGGTCCGGTAAAGCTCCGTTTCCAATATACGAGATATTAACCTTTTTTGAATTCTCAGCTGCTTTTGTTAAATTTTTGTCAATATTACTAGGTATGGTTGATAATGTAACTAAAGTCTTCTGAGAAAATCCGCTTATTAAAACTACAAATTGTCATTACGGATTTAAATCTGCGAAATATATTCCTTTGGGATATAATCATATAAACCTTTTACAATCATCAATAAAGTTTGGCCAGGTAGATTATGTTAATAAAAAACAAATTATGTACACCGTTCAAAATTTCAAACGTCCCAGTGCAGTAAATCGCTAGCATCAGTCAGTTAGTCTCTTAGCGGCAGGTTTGTTTTGTTAGGTTCTTCTGTATACTGCTTTTGCTACTTTACTTTACTTTACTTTACTTTACTACAGAATATTATTTGGCTGTTTGACTATTAACAAACGTATGGACCATGTACCCCTTCAGTGTATTTTCTTTTTGTTGGCTGTGCCTCCACTTTCTTAACGAATTAACATTCTAGACGAGTATAGTGGATCTTTCCTCATACTCATTCCAATTTCACGTGGTTGATACAGTCATCTCCATGATACAGTTGGACAACTTATGTTAAACCATGACAAGCAATTCTTATGCTCTGCTGTACCACCTACCTATGCAGGGTGTTCCACATTTTAATGGACAAGTGTCTTATGTGACACAAAACACGTCAAATTTTCAATATTACAAGGCATTATTGAACCGAGTTACCTAAGAGTCACGTAAATTTAGACGATGGTTAAATAAATAATCCAGGCTGGACTCATTTTTTTACATTTTTGTTTTTTATCAAAATCAACAACTCTTGAGCTGAATATTGAAACGTTTCACTATGTACAAAAGCAGCAAATGAGTGATGTTCATTAATTACTAAGATAGATCTATCGCGTTCCTTATTGTTTTTTAGTTATTATTATTCAAATACGTCATTAATGTGACACAAAACTCGGGATCTTAAGAGTTATCAACTTGGTTTCATCAACATTTTACAGACTAATGCTTAAAATTGAACTAAACTTGTTTTATCCTGAATTTATTATTTCCCAGAAAAAAAGGCCAATGGACCCTAATTAGTTTTTTCACTATTTTTTACGATTTAATTTCAACAACTGATGTTATACAATAGCATGGGTCCTGCTTCAAAGGAAAACGGCATTGAGTATGCAAATGCACTGAATTTGACTCTCCAAACCAACTAAATATCATGATGAAAATGTATATAAATCTAATATACAGGTCTGGACTCAAAATGTTCAGCATAGTTACGCGTGGTATCACACAATTAAATGTCGTGTCTAGATCTGCATACAACGTCTTTGTGCAATTGATAACTTAATTTCAAGTTGGTCTGGAACGTAAAATTTTATAAATTGTGTATTAAATGCCGCTTCCCTTTTAAGCATATGTTGTTGTACATACCCTACCAATTGTCAAATTGACTATATAAAAAAATTACCGAAAAATAGGGCGAATAACATTAATTTTCCTTATTATTCATATTATATACGTATATTCTAGTAAAACACAAGGTGATAAACAAATGAATCCGACTAAACATTTGCTAGTTATTTCGTATGGTATTGATGACGTAACCGCCAAAAACGGTGAAAAGGTTTATATTACTTATCCGTGGTTACACCGTGTTGAATATGTTGTAACAAAGAAAATATGCGTTCATGACCATGCTACGTAGATTAGTGTCTGACAGGAATATGGGATCCGTTACATTTAGATAACATCTACTTTAACGTGCGTCAAAACATCAGGAATCTCGGTGTTATCCACGGCAATCGAAGTTTACATCAAAAAATATTTTGCTAGAGTGACTGAAATGAATAAATTATTGGTAGAATGCCAAATTACAAATAGAAAGTCACTATATTAGATCTGTTGCGATAAGCCTGAAAACTATTTGAACCTACATTTAAAAATATTTACTCTGGTAACTGAATATGCGTTAAAATGTGCTTCGTGCGACTGTTCTTATAGATGACGACCAATGATACAATCATAGATGTGTAAAGAGATAGAAAGTAGACTGACGCAGTACTTGGCACGCATAATTATAAAATCATTTCGCATTTCTCAATCGTACTTCCCACGCTACTTGCCAGATAAGTATTGTAATCGCCAAGCAATGGGAATCGAGAGAGTAGTTTTTTTGAATAGTAAACAACATTCACATCACAATTATTTCCATCAATCTGCCTGTCTGACGTGTATCATTTAACCGATAATCCTTGACCTTCCAATATCTCGGAAGCATTGTTTCGATTTTACTTTTCTTTGGAGAGACCTCATGGTTTTCCATAGCAAGGAAGAGTCACAAAATTGGGAACTTCAAATAATTTGCATTCACGGATTTGTCACCTTCCACTTATTTTCGTGTACCTTATATACTAAGTGACATATAAATCCGAACACCCAGTTTAAATGGTTTTATTTTAATAAAAGCTGGTGAATGTATTTATCTTACTGTAAATAACAAGTGAAAAAATGTTCAGCCTTATCAGTCGGTTTTCATACTGGTTTTTTTTTAATTCACTAACGCTCTAAAAATGAATATTTCAGCCGCAGTAAAGAATCAACGTTGGCGGATTTTGGTTCTTGACATCCTTTACGATCGGTTACGACGCCTAGAGTACGGAGACCTGTACGATTTCGTCAACTTAGTGAGTTTGATAGGGGCCGTATGGTGGGACTTCGGGAAGCTGGACTTTCTTTTCGGGCAATTGCAGTTAGAGTGCAAAGAAGTGTAGACACTGTGGTTAGGAGTTGTCAGGCATGGCTTCGAGAAGGCCGTACGCAAAGAGTAAGGGGCACTGGACGCCGCCGTAGAACAACAGACCGTGAAGATCGCCGCCTAAGATTATTGGCCTTAAGGGACCGTTTCTCCACTACCAGGTCCATTTCAAATGAATGGTTTGCAAAACACGGAAGACCTATTGGCATGCGAAGTGTTTACCGACGAATGAGAAGTTTTGGCTTGTTTTCATACCGGCCACACTGGGTCCTCTCTTTAACTCGAGAACACCGACGTAATCGCCTTGAGTGGTGCAGACAGCGGTCACTCTTGGATCAGGAATGGAACAGTATTGTCTTTAGTGACGAGTCTCGATTTTGTTTAGGCATGCACGATGGTTGGTCGTGCCAGGGTTAGAAGGCGACGTGGTGAAAGGAGGAATCCACAGTTTTTTGATGAAAGACATGTTCATCACACTGTTGGAGTTATGGTTTGGGGTGCTATAGCTTATGGTTCCAGGTCACCTTTAATCTTCATCAGAGGTAACATGAACGCGCAGCGTTATATCCACGAAGTTCTAGAACCCCATCTTTTACCCTATCTTGACACCCTGGCAGATCCAACTTTCCAATAAGGTAATGCCCGACCACATGTTGCAAGAGTCACAATAGACTGTTTTTAACATAATGATGTCACATTGTTACCATGACCACCAAGATCTCCCGACTTATCCCCAATTGAGCACGTGAGGCATATGATGGGTAGGAGATTGCTCAATTTGCAACGTCCTCCTCAGACTCTAGAAGCACTTCGAGAGGAGTTGGTGGTTGCCTGGAATGAGATACTACAGGAGGACATTGACCACCTGATCAGAAGCATGCCTAGGCGCGTTGGAGAATGCGTAGCACATCAGTGTGCATCCACACATTATTAAAGGTCAAAGGGCTTTAAAGCAGTGCAATCATTTTGAAATTTTTATCATTTACTTATTATGCTTCATTAAGTACTTATACAAAATTTTATTAAAATAAAACCATTTCAACTGGGTGTTCGGATGTATATGTCACTTTTTGAGAAATTCATATTATAGTGATAGTTAAACTAATTGACCTCACTTTTTGATGTACCAAATCTGAATAGGCAATAAATATATGAATTTTGCACAATTGAAAATATACGACATTGGGAAGTTTGAAAGACCTTGAGAAATTAGAGATTTTTCATTTTTTCAAAAAACATTCTCCGACAATTATCGGCACGAAGTTAGTTTCAGAATAACTTTTCTTAAATTCGATGTTTTTCGATGAACCATGTTTGTTTCTTTGTTCCAGGAAGTGTCCCATCGACTGGGTGACGATAAATCTCTTTTCGAATATTTGAAACTTCCGATACAACGCATAAACGACTACCAGCTTCTTCTTAAGGTAAGACTCGTTTCTTTACATTAGACAAAATACTTGGAACATCGAATGTTAGATGAATCATAGACGAAATTTATTATCTCATATGAAACCCACCCACTTCTTCTTTTATTGGTTATAAATGCTGAACGTGCTATTTTTAATATCGTACTCAATTCTTCATGGGTTAATCTTAAAATATTGCAATATTGTTTCCTAAAAATAATCTCATGCTACTAATCCAAAAACCATAAAAACTTCATTGGATATTGCGATATACACCTTACCAAAACCGTGAGCTATTTATATTCCATTTTCTTTTGTAAAATAAAAAGAACGCGGGTAGGTAATTTACTGTTAATAATGAGTGTTAAAGCTTCTATGTTTTTCGAATCAGATTGAAAATAAAAATGCAATCACGTCACAAGTGAACCCGATTAGGTATGCAGGGGGACCAGGTGACCAAGGACCTGAGTAGGAAAGCCTTTATATACTTTAAACGCCACGAAGGCATACGGTCTAATACCCACTGGGTACCCTGGGGCTATAGGGGGATACAAGAGAAAGGGGGACGGCAATGAGGAAAATGTTAAGCAGTCATACATGGAAGTAGTTATTTGAAAAAAAAAATAATTCTGTCGTTAATGGTTTTCCTCTATGTTCAAAATAAACTAAAAACTAAATCAGTTTTTAATTTGACATTGGATTTTATAACAAAAATAAAATAACCGTATTTAAAAAATAAGTAGGAATGGAAACGCCATAGTAAATATGTGGACGTACACAAAGTGGTTATAGATATGTTTTTAATTCTTATATTTATTAAAACAACTTCAAAATATAATAAACCACATTGTCAGTCACGTTACTCACTTAACTGGCATTGTAACTCTAACCCCGTATATTTTTCTGAGATACTTCTGAGCTCTGCCCTCCAATAATTTTTATTTCGATTTGTTCTTTCACTTGAAACATCCTTAGTCATGCATGCAAAACGGTGCGCAATCCAGTTTAAAAAACTTACTGAACAAAAGCTAAAAAGATCCAAGCTCTTTATTCAATTTCGCTTTCTAATGATAATTGACAAACTTATGCTATGTTCTTATGTTAAGCGTACTCCCATTCTTCCGATATAAAAAACAAAATTTATGTTTCAAGGAATTGGTAAGGTACACAACTTGCCTTGGTGAAGATGTCACCAATCTCCAAAGGGCATTGGATTTGATGTTGAGTGTACCCCATCGCGCTGTAGATGACAAATTCATCTCTAGCATTGAGGGATTCAAAGGAAATATCCGCAAACTTGGTAGACTATTAGCACACGACAGATTTTCTGTATCTTTTGGTGACATTACAAAAGAAAGATATTTATTTTTGTTCAAATCGCACATACTTATATGTAAAGTGAGAAGAATATCTGAAGACAGATCAATATTCCAGTTAAAAGACACAGTGAAGGTAACAAGGGATAAATAAGTAATTCGTACACTTAAAAATTTTTCCACAGACTTGGAGGTACCATACTATGTCAAATAAGCAAAGATGTCAGGGTTTAAGATTCACTTGCACCCTCTGACGGTATTATTTACGTACTATGCAAGGGCGAATGAATCCTAAAAATACGAATTGGACAAGCCACCGCGGCATTTCTCTTATCCATGAAAAAATCTTTCAGACTCGTATATCAGAAATCATTATTTTTGTCCATTCTGCTTGATAAGTGAATCCAGATTCTCCTTGGGATACTATGTAAAATAATCCTATATTATGAAGCAAGGCCCGGAGACACCTTGGTGGCACTGACTTGGATCTCCTTTTGACTATCGCAGTAGATAACGGTTTCTTCTCTCTGATGTCACGGATCTCTTCAACTGGGTAGATGATACCAAACTTTCCCAAAATAATATAGGGAATATAGGGTAACCTAAAACCAGTGACGTGTATCGTATATGAGTTCGAGTAGGGCTCATAGGACTCGCCTCTGGAGGGGACACAAAGGATTGCAGTTTTATATTTATTTTAAACTTGTTGAGTGGAAACAATACACGTTTTATTGATATTCTTAGACTTCTTGAAACAGTAGATTGAAAAAATAGCGCAAAAATCTTATCTACCCTTTAAAGAGCTTAAGATTAACATAACTGTGTTTTTCTGAAGGAATTACAGACTATTTCACTTTTGCAGCGTAAAAAACCCTTTTTCAAACATTTTAAAACACAAACAAGGATCTCACTAGAACTTGTTTCTCCGATGCTAAGAAAAGTAACGTTTCTTTCCATATATTTTACGTCTAATCAAAAAATAAGCATTTATGTACATACCATTATGCGATATGGAATGACTGTTATATCTTTAAGACAGGTTTAAAGTGTTTGAGGCTACCATCTATGAGGTCCAAAAATCATATAAAAAAACTATTACATATCGATATCTAATCGCAAAACAAGGAAAATATATAAAGATGATACACTGTTCTGAGTCCGCAGCTGGAATCAACGTTTTGGACCTAGAACCCCACTTTTTGTACTCCCCCGTTACAAAGATGATAGTCCGCCACGACAAAAAATTAGAAAATTTGCTCACAGCGTGAATTTCGTACCATTCGGGGAGAGCCCAGTCTCTCCCTCCCTTATATACGCCACTGCCAAAAACCAACTTTTGTATATACTTAGTATTTCTTTTGATATAAACTTTTCATTATTGCAACATCAAATAAATATATTGATTACAGATTCTAACGAATTTATTGCTTTATTTTTATTAAGATACAAAATAAACTAACAATATATTATGGTACTTCCGAACCTGTGGAGTTGAATATGTAACCGAACATGTAACTTGAAATATAAACAAGTATGTAGATAACTTGTTATAGCTCAAACTACTGTTCCCGAAATACATTTTAGCTTGCGCAGACAGAAATAAGAGACAATCCAGATGACAATTTCGGTTTTGAACTTGTTGATACTGTAGGAGGACAGTTTTTACGATTAAAAGCATATAGAGACATTAAGAATACTTGGGTTAAAAATATAAAGGAATTCGCACTAGGAAGTGGTAAGTAAAGGTATCTCAATAATACATAAAGGTATGTTGCCGTGATAATACAGGGTGCGGCAGAGAGGATGGATGGTTTTAAAAAAATCATATAATAGTTAATTTTTACTCGAAAACAAATTTATTTATGGGATCAGGTTCAAAAGGAAATAGCATTTGAGACAGTAAAGTGTGGAAAATCACATCAGGCATGTGGTGGCCGAAATCGTTGATGCAGTGCTGGAGGCGTTCTTGGAAGTTTGCGTAGACTCTCTCCAACATCGCTCTCTCAACTTGGGCGACTTCCACGCGAATTTCGCCCGTCAATTCGTTCAGAGTTCGGGGCTTGTTCGCGTATACTCTAGCCTTGAGGTGTCCCCATAAGAAAAAATCGCATATGGATAAATCTGGGGACCGAGGAGGCCAATGAACATCGCCAAACCTGGAAATAAGGCGACCAGGGAAGAGAGGGCGAATAACGTCCATGGATGCTCGGGCTGTGTGGGCGGTTTCCCCATCCTGCTGGAACCACACACGTCGGACTGGAACACGTCGCAGTCGTAATTCAGGTAGAAAGAAGTTGGTAACTATGTCGACGTAGCGCTCTGAGTTCACGGTAACATCACAACCATTACCGTCATCGAAGAAGTAAGGGCCAATGATACAAGTTTGCGATACAGCGCACCAAACTGTTACTTTTGGGCTGTGCAGCGGTCTTTCGTGTAACTGTTGCGGATTTTCATTAGCCCAATAACGACAATTCTGCTGGTTAACCATGCTGTTTAGGTGAAAGTGTCACTCATAAACAAAATGAGGTTCTCATTTTGATCGATCAGTGCTTCCATCTCACGTGCGAAGTTCATTGCTTGTGCATAATCTCCGGGCTGTAACTGTTGCACAATGGCCAATTTGTAGGGGTGAAAGTGGAGATCCATATGCAAAATTCGCCTGACCGAACGATCACTAAGGCGAAGTGCAGCAGCATGTTTCCGAGCAGATCGAGTCGGACTGCGAAGAAAGACCTGTGGAACGCGTTCAACATTTTCAGGAGTTCGAACTGTTCGCGGCGCTCCTCTTGGTCTTCTGTTGATCAGCTCACCACGCCTGCGAAGTGATTCAACCCAACGAAGGATGGTGTTTCGAGAGGGAACAGCTCTATTCCGATGAATGTTGAAGTGGCGACGAAACTCACGCTGTACGACGATGACTGACTCATTATTTCGGACGAAACAATCATAGGGGAAAACGCGGTACTCCACCGTCCAAGGCTCCATAACGACAACTGGTAAAATAATGCTAGGATCTCACGAGTCAAACGGCACCCTCCCCACCTCTCTCGTAGACGAAGGAGGTGAGTACTACCCATCCCAAAAACGTCCGTCCTCTCTGCCGCACCCTGTACAATCTAAAATATTAGTAGGAGCAATTAAGCAATAAGCTTTGACAAGTAAACTTTTCTCCACAAAAGTTATGAGCACCTAATACTCGGTTATACAAAGGCGTATTTAGAAATATGCCAACAAAGTTGTCGATTGTATCATCCTCGAAATCCTCCACAGTTTCAGAGCTTCTATCATTTCGGGAATAAATTGCACTTTTTAAAAGTTTAGTCATAAGCGAATTTTACGTATATTGGAGATTTGTCAATGCTCGAGCACGTCATTAAAACCCCGCACAATCAATATGGAATCTGGTTTCACGCCATAAAACATCTGTCTATGAGTCCGAAGTCCTTGTATGAATTAAGCCTTCGATGCATAAAAGTTGCAAGTTAGACACTACCTACCAAATTACACCGTATTGATACACTCATGCGTTCTAGGTTATAACCGTTCAGTATAATGTTTTATATTGAAAGCACAGGGTGGCTAAATTGAATAACAACGGAATATTGATATGGCTCATATTCAATAACATTAAAATAATATCACAGCCACGTTTATATTTGGAATCACACAGTCTATTGTCACGTGCCAAAATCACGTAACCTTTTTTTACTATTTATCACTTATCCGTAATTTGAATTTCTCTTCATTGATTTCTAGGCCAAACCCTTTTCAATGATTTTCTTTGATGGTGATATAAACAAAGTAGCTATAAAACTCGTACATGTTTTACTTGAAAGTCTGAATCGTCAAACCCTAGAGATGCTGCTGTATTGTCAATATGGAGTACAAGCAGCGGGTTTCATAATTTCGGGTAGCATGTGTGACAGAATACTTTCGATATTTTCTGCCCCGCCACATAACGATCTCAAATTCAATGGAAAACGTGAAAACATGAGGATTTTTTGCAATAACTTTCAACGCTGCTTATTCAAGCTATATCTACTAAAGATCGTATTCGTAGATGGTAATTGCAAATCAGAAGCCAAACATTCCAAAAATAAATGCACTATGAGCCTATTGGTACATTGGTGGTACATGCTGAGATCTAGATCATGATCTTCCTTTAAAGTAGCTGAAACACCTTCCATAAGGTTGTTGCGCGGGACGTGCGATCGGAAAACGCCCCAAATAAAGTTCTCGGAACTGCTTTTCAATATTAACAGACCAACTTTTAAAAAACCATGTCAGACATACTCCATTAATACACATCTTTTTTACAGGAAGGGCAGAAAAGAACAAATCCGAATTAATCGTACCATCCGCATCCGACACAAAACCATCTGAAGCTGGTAAAGAAAAGCCTAAGCCACAAAAACCCCAGCCTAAAGAAAACAAAGGGGCACAATTAGATAGACAGGTTAAAGTTGAACCCGTAAAGCAGGTAAAGCCAAAAGACCCAAAGGTTGGGACAGAGAAGCAAGCTAAAAATGAGCCTGGAAAACAGGTAAAAGTTGAAACAGAGAACAAAGCGAAAACTCTTAGTAAAACAGTTGAAAAATCTGTTAAGACAGAAAAAACTTTAACAAAAACCGAGGAATTTGCGAGTACCTCAACCACAACCTCAATCAAACCTGTAACAACAGACCGCACCACAGTCTCGGAGACTCTCACGTCTGAGGTTGTCGAAGACCCACATTTCAAACCGTTGCAAAGAGTAGAACCTTTGGTGCAGATCAATAAACCAAGGGTCACCGAAGAGGTCATACCGTACGTCATCAAACCTCCTCCTGAACTATACCCGGGTAGTGCCATCGATAAGGTTCTATCGGTGGAGAAGAGTGGAGTGAGTGATATTATTCTCACCGACTTCAAAGTTGGAGTAGAAGTTAATGTACAGGTCGAAGACGAGATGAGCAGAAAGTACTCCTCAAGTCGGACTACGGGTATGTTGTTCTTCGGTTTATTAGTTTTTGGAAAACTATGGTGAAAAATGTATTACCCCAATCCCAATCTTAGGTGATTGATACGAGAGCTGTCTCTGAACAAGCGGAATGCTTTGGAAATGATTTTACCAATAGGTCAGCTGCTTCCCGGAATAGAGCGAAAAACGTTGAAATTAGAAATCATCAGTAGAGATTCTGCTATCAAGCATTGCACAGTTGAGATCGATATTCTTACCAGATACCAGAATCGACTACTACTAGAATGGAAAGCAGCTATCTATTTGAACTCTAAGGTTATCTCAGCTCGTGTCTACAACAGCTTGATGCCATCGATTTTAACAATACAATATATAATGGTCTAGTCGTCATTGGAAACTTATAATACTTCGGACAACAGATGGCCAACCGTGTTTCATGCTTTTTGGCAGTCATCAGCCCAGTCAGGCAGAGCAAAGTATTCTCTATCGGAGGTAAGGTCTATCCAGATACTAAATATCAGAATCGGCCACTGCGTGAGTTAACAGTGAATAAATTGTCTGTTCGCCATTGAAAATATATAATTAAAATTTAAATTCAAATTATTTATTATCCTTTAGGAAATGAAATACATGCAAAGGATTCGTCAACTTGCATTACTAGAACTAATTAATAAATAATAAATAAACAAATTCTGAGATGGCATAAACAGATTTAGATGCCCGGAATTCTGTAAAATTTGTTTTAAACTTAATAATATTGGGGCATTCCTTAATATCGTTCTGGTAGCTTGCTAAATATTATCAAAAACATACACAGATAGTTCGTATAGAAACAATGTGGGTAGCGTTAAAATTGTTAGACGTTTATAAGCTATTGACACCCACAATACTTTTGTTTGCTCAAAAATACCTGCTGACCTTTAGTTGACAGGCCCCAGAATCAAAAACCATATCTTAATCTTGATTCGATTTGAGCATAATGAATAAATAATACTGCATTCATCCGTCTGACTAACCAAAAGACCACTCTCGTAGTGGTCGATTCTGGTATCTGATAATGGATAGATCCGATAGACTTTATACCCGATATATGATACTTTGGTTTGTTCCCCTACCTAGAGACCTCGGCCATGCTGATGATTTCCAATAAGGATGAAACAGCTGTTGAGCGGTCGGATGACAGCGGTATTATTTGTTATGTTGTTAAACAAACATTCAATCGAATAAATTGAATCCTAGTACCTTAAACCTATCAGAAAATACAAAATCTTTAATAAATATGTTTAAACAATATATTTTATTTTTGATCGCGATCATTGAGAATATTTGTCACAAGCCTTTTTTCACCAAGTTTTCTAAATGTTTTGTAATGCATGTAGGCTGCATGAACTAGGCATATTCGACAAATATTAATAAAGTGTGGAAAAAGCAACTGAGATTTTTAGGCTTGATGTGTGAAAATATATACTAACATTGCAACTCCCGCATCCTTGAATGCTGTCATACAGAAAACTGTCTTCAGCTCTAGCTTCTATGGAGCCTACTGCTCGCATAAGGTGATGCTTATATTGGAATGGTACATAGTTTGGAGTTTTTTTTTAATGCAGGATCTTTTCAATTTTTGAACATCTTTACAACAGTGATAGGTTTGTACAAATGACGGTTACTTATTTTTTTTCTTTGCACACAACTGCACCCTACACTTACATAAATAATAATTACATAAACAGACATACATAGTGAGCTCGAGTTACTAGTATTTCACCACTACTAAGTATATTGCCAAGCTTGTAAAGTTATTTTTGGCCAAAAACATATTAAAATGAATTTTTTTATTCTGGATCGAGGTGCAATCCAAACTTGTACCAACGTTATGGTAAAAAGAAAAACCGTATGCTCATTCCACCGAAATGATAGGTTATATATATTTATGAATAAATGTGAATGGACATACACTTTATCGCCATCCGCGTGTGGAGTTTGGCGTGCAGAAAACGAATTATCGAACGGATCTCATGAATCTCACGTCATCAGTAGGAACCTCCATATCGGACGGCTGCTGACCCAAGAATGAGTGGCGCAGCGACGCGCTGCTAGGGTGAATCAAGAGTAGGGGATCAGCCGCGCGCAGCGGTGTTGCCGTATTTGGCCTTGAATCTCCCAGTGTGGCTGGGAAACTTATTTCTGGATCAACCCTTATACTTGAAAAGTAGCCAGATCTAGATATTTGATTTCAAAATACATTTGCCTTTGCCAGTTGACGCAACTGAAGATTGGAGATGAAAAACAGATCGTTGATCGGTAAAAACCTTAGAATAGATACTCCACTTGACCTGTTGGTTCTTGAATAGTAGTATGAACCTTGTTATATATTGATTACCACAAATTATAGATAAGTGAGCATAGCGGTTATTCTATACTAGTTCCTCAATAACTTCATTGATATTCCTAGGCTCATGCAACGGAACTAAAAATTAATTGAATTTATTTGAATTAGCCAAGAATATAACAAACATATACACATATGACACGTTATGATACATATAACACCTATATAAAATCTTGAAGATCGCATTCCCGAATTTTCGTATCACTATATCATGAGACGTTTGTCATCCAACCAAAAATACTCGCCAGAGCTTAAATAAATACCACGCAAATTCAAAATAACTCTATCATGCATCATCAAGCCTAGCTATTCATGTTCCATTTTAGCAGAAAACCTGTTTACTTTATGAATAACAGAAATACTTTGTCAGATTCTAAGTGTTAGAAGGTTTTTTTTTTTCTCTCAGGAAGAACAAATGTTAACAAATCAACCCTAATAACGACTAGAAAATATGTGTCAGAATAAGCAATAATTTTTACCCCTTATTACTTCATTGTGGGCTAGTATGAAACAACTACATCAGCAAAAAAATCAACCAGTCCCATATCATAACCTGTTCTGAAATCTACCGCCCCCTCTGGTATTTTTTATTAGGTTCAGAAGTCATACTTTGCCATTAGTACTGTATTTTAGCTTGAAAACTCGAAAATGGAAGCAGAGCGCCAAATTGGATTTTTTTAATGGACTGAAGGGGAAACCAGGGGTAATTCAGTTGGACACAGCCAGCATAACCTTAATGTATCCCATTGATTCACAAAGCTTCATCTAACCAATCGCTCAAGAAACTAAAGACAAATTAAAATCATCAATATTAGATATATGAACTGCAATACCCCGTTTTCAGTAAGAAAGCCGTAAAATACATACGGCATACAATTTTGTTCTGTTTAATGACATATACTCGTATCAGCCGGTATATTATAAGCCTAAATAACCGCTTACGCAATAAAAATCAAAAACGCATAATATCTTTTAATTTACAGTATTTTAAACGCATTTCACTAGTAATCTCAAAAATCCATTAAGTAGACGCGGGTTCCGATTATTAAATATACACGATAATTCCCCTTTTACTTGGAATAAATATCATCGTGAAACTTTCAAGATCTAGTGCAACACGAATCTCACACCGGTAACGAATATGCAGCAGCTGCGATAAAATTAAATGCACTGCTGAAAGAGCGGCAAGGACTAATCGCTCCAGAACTTAGGTGTGTTTATAGGAGACACTGACCTGTTTTACATATTATTGTGTTTAACGTAGAGATGGCTGCTAGGTCTAGGTAATCTGTTTACGATAGACAAAACAATAAACTAAAAGTATGTGATTAGGCAGTTACTGCTTTTTTGCAACACAAGTTTTATCATTATTAATTTTGTGAACACACAAAACATTGAGCCTGGCAATTAGGCCACCTTTGGCCTTTTTTGTCAACCCCGAGTGTTCACTGATCTCTCAGACCCTCCTGATCTCTTAATAAAGGTCAGGAAGTCCGACCATTCCAATGAGTAAGCAACTTCACCATCAAACTCCATGGTCCCAAATATCTCGGCCCTTAGACTGCAACATGAGGTAGGCTGGATCTCCTCTCCCTTAAAAGGAATGAGTATCTGTTCAGTCTGGTAGCAAGCGCATTCTTCGGAGCCAGCTATGAACCTGGAGGACAAGAGGGTTCTCTAATGCCCATATACGACAGTTCAACTTATTAACAAATGCGTTCATATTGAAGTGGGCTATATCGCTCATTATCAGTTGGCGCATAATGACGTGTGACGAATACCCAGTTCTTGAGAACGATGTTTGGTAGACGTCTCAGGGCGCTCCACTACACTTTCACGATCTCTCTCGATATTTTCCGGAGTACTAACAGTTCGAACGCGGCCCAACCTTGGCAAATCTTCAGCTTCACCTGTTTGTTAAAATTTCCGCACCAATTGACGAATGGTGTTGACACTGGGACCAAAATCTTGTCGTAGCTTCCGAATCGTTGCAACAATCGACTCATTACTTAAGTAAAACGTTTTAACAATACGGAAGCGTTGTGAGATCGTGTAGCGCTCCATAATGAGTTGGACTCAAGTGCTTTAAACAACTACCATGGCGCCACCTACTGAAATCCGTGTATCGAAAATGGCGCGCAATTTAAATCAGTCAGCCAGTTATACAGGGTGTCCCGAAAAAAGTGTGCAACATTCTACCAGCGGTTTCTAGAGCTTAAAATAGGAAGAACAGTTTATATAAACATAGGTCGACAAACGTCCCCTAAAGGCCTTACGGTCTTCTAAAGGGGCTCCCCTGAAGATGGTTTTTCCTTAATATTTCCGAAACGTGTTGAGATAAAGACATAAAATTTGCTATTCTAGCCTAGTTTTTTATGCTGGATTTAAAAATATTAACAATTCTAGACAGTAAAAAAGGTACTCTTATTGAATATCGATAAATTGTGCCATTTTTTAATAAAATCAAACTAAAAAATTTGTCACATGATAGGAAATGTACTGCGAACTTAAATGAATTGTTGAATAATTAGCCATGGCAACGAAAAAACTAATTTAATAATTGATAAATATTACATAAATACATATTTCTATTGCAACATACCTGTAGCTAACATTTAGGCAAAAACAAAAGA